CTTTTTATAGCACTTCAGAGATGTTTAAATTCTTGTTTGTTGAAAGCTTTTGTATAGTTTGTGATGCAAATGATGCAGTCTTCAGTGCTTTTCATTTAATTTTAGAAACTGTGTTTCTAAATAGTTTCTATTATATGCTTTTAAGACTGTTATCTGGTGTCAGTAGACCAACTTTAGCAAAACAGCTCGCGTTATAGTCATCTTTGCTTTCTGAGGAGTTGCATCTCAATATTATTGGCTTTAAAGGGTAATTCAGTTTGAGTTGTACATGATTGCAATAGTAAGTTACTCACCAGAAAAATGTGAGCTGATGGCCTGCAACAGGTGCGTTTTGAAAAGATGGGACACCAAAGTGATTGGGAATAAACTTAGTCTCTCGGAGTGAGAGAGAAGACACTGAGAAATAGTGTGATAGCTGAATCTATTTTGACTTCACAAACAGGCATTGAAGTAACTTTTTTTGAGTTGCTTTGGGTCAGAAACTTGTCAGCATGAGTTTTATTGTGAAAGTATTCTATCTAGACAGTAGGTACACATTGTGCAATTTTTGCCAGAAATAGCTTTCTCTCTCATTTCATTTAATGTCTACATCCTTGATGGTTCTGTGCCAATGGTTTACAGGCTGGTTCAGCCCGGTTCCGTGACCAGCGGGGCGGAGGGATCCACGCCTCCAGAAAAGGGAAACAGGAGACCCCAAAATAATTGAAAACAGCAGCAACGATCTGAGGTGGAACAAACTAATTTACTAAATATACTGTCGGCAAAATGTAATGGGACAGAGAGTGTGTCTGAAAGGTGGATAGGCCTCACTGCAGCACTGAGGTGAGAAGTGCAGTCCAGTTGAGCAGGCGGAGAAGAGCAGGCGAAGAGAGCATCAGGTGACCTTGCTGGGAGTTATATCTCCTTGCTGACAGCAAAACCCCCTGGGGAAATGTTGTTCTTCTTCTCCTTCGGACAGGCACTCGGAACTTGAGCATCAGCAGTCAAAGCCCCGGTGCATTACATGATGTTATGGTGTGGAATACTGATAACCAAAATCATAAAACCATGACGTTCTGTCTTCAGTGGTTTTCAGAACTACTATAGCACTTGTGTAAATAATAGATTCAGAAGTGTCTTTTAAGCTCACAGCATCTTCTATAAGGACTTCTCAGTTTTTCTGATGAGTTCTGAGTATTCTATGAATACGTTTGCAGTATTTTTCTTATACTATACCACTTGGTTCTGCAGACTTAAACATTTTTATCCCAACATAAGTATTTCCTGGTAATTCAGGTGTTTGCTGTATTTGAAAGGAGAGCATTGTATGCATGCAGTAGCTGTACGATGAAATGGATTTTAACATGAAGAGTAACAGGGCACCTGTTATTTTGAATAGTGACCTCAGCAAGAATTCTTGCAGTGTTATTCCTGTTAATTTAGGACAGATAGCCACTATGCATGTGTCTGGAGTTCTTTGGAAACTGGCTTTCGTAGAAGACCTAATATCCTTTGGGGAGATGCTCTTCTGTGCTTTTTCTGATCTTGGAGATGCGTATGCACATAGCTTCCACATGTGTATACTTAAACATCCACCTGCTCATGTGCACAGGTAAATAATTCTTAGCATCACCAAGTGTAACACACTGTGTGCATCTCTGAAATGCTGTGTATTAAAAACAGTTCATGTTAAGACTTATATGAAAACATACAATTTCTTGCCACAACTCATGAACCATGCTTGAAACTGGAATATTGTTGCTGTTCTCAGTTGGACCTGTGAATTGTTCTACTGATTTTTCGAACTATTATGGCACCATCTGCTGACCAATATAAAGACTGGCAATGAGGGTTTTCCACACCTGGCTACTGCACTGAAAATGAGCTGACAGTATTGAATTTGAAGGCAGTTTGAGTGGAATCGTAAGGATAAAGGTTGATTTTATTTTATTTTATTTTTTTCCAGTTGGCTCATGTTTCTAAGAAGTATTTTCAGCAGGAGATATCATTACAGAGGCTAAATCATAACACAGTTTTAATTGTCTAATCACCAGGGCTATTACAGAAAGTTTTTCTGTAAACTGTTAAGCTTTCAAATTATTTCTTTTTTTTTTTTTTTTTTTTTTTTGTCTGTAAGATAGAGGGTTGTTCTTATTATTCTGCCCATCAGTACTTTATCTTCTAGGCTTACAAAGGAAAGAGTTAACAGCTTAAGATCAGTTTAGCCGCAGTACTCTAGTGGTCTTGTTGTGGCATAGGAAATGTTTGACTCAAAGAACTCAGAGTTCTATGTCATGGGACTGTTGCTGAGACATAAAGGTAAAATCTGCAGCAGTCTGTCCCTTTAGTCTGTACAGTTAACCTCTTGCCACCTGCAGTATGTAAAGGCTGAGGTTTTGGCCCAATTGGTAAAAATTATCTAAATTGTTTGAAAATAAGTAGTTGGATTTCATACATGTGGGCATTTTCATGTGGCTTATTTGTTCAGAACTTTAAAAAAAATTGTTCAGTAGTTCTCCATGTTCTCCATCTTTAATTTCCAATATCACCAATTTCTGTGGGAGTGTTTTTAAAAATGAAGTCAATCTGAGCTTTTTAGATTGAGTAATCAAAGTACATCTGTTTATATGTACAGTCTTCTATATGTGTAAATACAGAGAGATACAGATTTCAACAGGATAACTGTTTTGTTGCTGGCTTTTGGTTTTTTTGTTTTTTTTTTTGAGGAGTTGTTTTACTACAGATGAGTGCTTTATTGGAAGCTGCATAACATAAATGCTATATGATGTAATTAAAAAGATTTTAGGGATATTTTTGCTTTCCTAAGGATTGTAAAATTAAACAATGAAATGGCATTCTCTGGTTCCTGATTTCTTTGAGTTCAAAGAATTCTTTTAGTTTTTACAATTATTGTTAAACTATGCTAACAGTGACTAAAAGTGTATCATCTCCTGAGATTCTCTTGTTCTTCAGACCTCAGTAATCTTTCCACTTGACTGACTGCCTAAGATTCTACTTTCCCTTCTTGCTGCAAGACTCTTAATCTCATTCATATTGGTTATTTCAAAATAAAGTATATATTTAACACTACCTTGTGGTATGTTAGGGAGAAATCTGCATCTTATGTGGCTTTATGATTAGAGAGGGGAAAATACTTAGTGCAGTTGTGTTATTTAGTAAGAGCAAATGCAAGTTCACGATGCCTCTTTGGGAACAGGAGGGAAGAAAAGATGCAGTTGATGTTCAGACAGGTGAATTTTGAGCATAAATGGGTTCATTTTTTTCAGATCGTACTTCTGAGAGAAATGCTGTCTGGCTCTTATCTCTGTTTTCTCCAGATACATTGTTAGCCATTAAGAAACAGGGCTAGATGTGATCTTGCAAGTTCTTCCCTCTCAGAACAGGGAGGGTATGAAGAATAAGCAGTTGCTAAATAGTGGTTGCTTGCACTGCTTGATTGTAGCAAAGGTAACATCAGAGGTTTCACAACCTGCAGCACTAGACTTCAGCTGCAGATCTTCAGAATTCTTGGAAAAACATTTTAGCTATTTTCTTAAAAGAAATTTCACCATTCTTAGTCAGAAATGCGCAGAGAAGAAAAATAATAATCACCACGTCTACTAACAATGAAACCTCTGATTTGACTTCTGTAAGCACAGTGGTTTATTCTATGACTTTTTTTTCTTTCAGGAAAGTTGCTTTGTTTTATATTTGGAAAATAATACATTTGGAAAACTAATTATGTACAAGCTTATTATATGATCAAGATTGATACCTGTCAGTTTTCTATAAGATCTGAAGGTATAAGCAAAATGTAATTTGGCTAGTACCGACTTTGGAACTAGCATACCAATATGTAGTTTTAAATAGCAAATCCTTTGATCTCTATGGCTAATCAAATGGAAATTTACCTTTTAGAGACCTGTTACCGCTGAGAAATAATAGGGTGCGTAAATATTAAAACTTTAATGCTATTTATAAGCTCTGTTACAATAAAAGATGAAGTGTTTCATAATAAGTAAAGGAAACAGCCGTGTAAATAATACTAACACTTGAATTATATTCAGAAGTCTCTAACGTAGCAGTAGAGATACTAAATCTTCTTTTGATTTTCCTAATGGTGATTATTTTTGTTTTAGATATTGAAGCTGATTAAACTAATGAATAAGAAAACACTTTTTCCATATAGTTAAACTCCTGGTCTTGAGATGCTTGCTTCATATGAATCTTCCTGTGGATAGTTCAGAGCTCCTATCTCTAAGCTTCTTAGTGCAGTAACCATCAGGTTTGCTTCCTTTGACTAAATGTTGCCCATCTCGTCTGCCAAAAGGGCTTCTCTTAGGTATGTTCAGGCATCTATTAACTTCTGTATCTTTCATTAAGGGTGGTCTGAATTAGACTTCATTTTTGACTACTTATGAATGTTTGAATGTTCTTTAGGAGCCTGGAGGTACTGTGTCTGCTTTCTTGTGACCTTACTGGATTCTAATTGGCTTCCATTGCAATTTGTAGTTGTCTCCTCACTAGTAGCCAGTATTTATGGAAGTTGATTTTAATGCAGAGCATTCAAGTTATAAATATGATTGTAACTAATTTGCTAACTCTCAGACAAATGAACAGAACGTTAATTTTGAAAGAACAGTTTGAAGAAGGTTGTGAATCAATCAATGATTTCTAATAGGATCTAGTTATTTTGATCTGATCTTGTTAGGTCCTTTGGGGCTTATTTTTGTTGGTTTACTTCAAAAAATTAGAGGGAAAAAATGATCATGTTACACTTTCAGAGTAGCAAAGCAGCAAAATCTAGTACTACACACCAAGGGACAAGAGTGTTGATTGTAGCTGATTTTTGGAGAAATAACAAATGTTAATAATAAAGATTATTTTCATGTTCTATTACAGTATTGTTTGTTTTCAATTTCATCTGTTGGCAGACTATTGCTACAAGTTACTGTAAGTCAGTGAAAGTAGTGATGCTACATAGTGCTATTCTTATTGTTGCACTTTTATTTGTTTTTTAGTGTAAGCTGTGACAATGACAACTGAAGTTGGCTCAGAGACTGAAGTAAAGAAAGATTCTGAGCAGGTGGGACCAGACAAAGCCAAAGGCAAGCCTGAAGAAGCCTCAGAGACTCCAGGAAATGATAAGTCCAGGAAAGCATCCTCCGAAGAAACTCAAGATTCACCAGTCCCAGCACCAACTAGCCCTACTAGCCCAAGGAGCCAGAAAAAGGAAAAAGATTCATCTGAAAGCAAGGGTATTTCTCGCTTCCTTCCTCCCTGGCTTAAGAAACAAAAATCCTATACATTGGCAGAGCCCAAAGATGAGGCCAAGAAAAGAGTAACAGGGGAAGAACAAGTAGCTGAAGAAAGTGAAAGCCATCCATCCGAGGGGATGGCTCAACCAAAAAGGAGTTTAGAAATAGTGGCTGAAAATAATGCTAAAGGAGATGACAAAGAAGAAAAACATTCTGTTAGTAGTGCAGAAACACAGGTAAGTGTGTATGAATGTTTTGGAGCAATTCTGAGGGGGTGGGGAGCTACTTCATGATGTATATAAGCCGTGTAAGACTTTGTTGGTATCACATAAGGAAAAAATGGCAGTTACAGTCACTTTGTGAAATTGGGTTGATATGAGTAAGCTCTTCAGCACAATAGTTACTTATTTGTCTCAAGCTGCTTTAGCTGTAACTTTAGCATAACATCATCCTTTGGCATAGTCCAAAGGGATATGAACTGACTGTTACAGTAGCAATGAGAAGGGATAAGAGGAGAAGCTTCTTAACCAGATTTGCCTCGGAAGCCTTTGTATTGCACAAATAGCTCCTTAGTGAATTAATTCCATTTGTTATCTGTTGTAGTTATCAAGGAGTCCTTAGATGTCAATCTTTTGTTATACTTTACCTTAAACCATGCTTGTAGCTGTTGCTCTTATTGATTGGCTCTGGGAATCTGGTACTGAGTTTGAAAGCAAGCACCATATTCTGCAGTGTTTCTGAGTCCTAATGTACACAAGTTATGTTTCAGTTCTTAAACCTCAAATCTCACATTCTCTAGGGCCACAGTGGTGATTAAGGACATAAAGAATCTTTCATAGGAGGAGATGCTGAAAGAGCTGGAATGCTTCAGCATGCAAAGGAGAAGAGTAGGGGAAATCAGTGTATCTGAAGGGAGGAAACGAAGGGGCAAGACTCTTCTCTGTGGTGTGCAGAGAAATGACAAGAGGCAATAGGTGCAAATTAGCTGTAGTGGTGGTCTGTCAGTGAAAATACTGAAAACCTACCTGGAAACAGTCCTGGGCAAACTACTGTAGCTCACTCTGCTTGAGCAGGAAGATTGGACTAGATCACAAGTTACTTTCTAACCTGGAGTTTAAAAAGAAACTTTTTTAGTTTAAAAGAAACAAAAAACCCTAGTGTATTAAAAAAGGAAAAAAGGCTCATTCTATGATTTCAGAACAAGAGCAGAAAACCTTTTTTCAGTGTCTGGCCCCCAAATAGACCTCAATGCTTACTCAGGTTGTGGTTCTTCCAATATATGCATAAATTTTATTAAAGCTTAATTTGCAAATTAGTGGCTTCTAAAAGAAATGAACAGGATAAAAAAAAGGTCCTCTTTCATGAGCTTGAATTATCACAGAATTGTTTAACTGTATTTTATATAGCCTGCCAAAGAAGATGGGAAAGAAGTTGAAGTAGAAAAGGTTGCAGAAGAAAAAGAAGAGAAGGAAAAAAGGGAGACAAAAGAAGTGCAGACAGCTGAAAGTATTCCCCAGAAGCCTCCTAAGAAAATTAAAACCGTGCAGTGTAAAGTGGTGCTCCTGGATGGCACAGAATACAGCTGTGATCTAGAGGTGAGGTATTAAGTTTTTTATATAGAGCTCTCTTTCTTTATAGAGAAAAAGAAAATGCTTTCATTTCATTCTGAGTTTAGCAAGTATATTTTTGTGTGTCTAATTAGCACATTACAAGGTTGCATTCCTGTTGCTATCACTAAGGCTCAGTTACCTGTTCCTTTTTGAACTTAATCTCTATTTTGTCATTAAAAAATGTACGCTGTGTTATACTAGCAAAGATAAAGTGCAATTAATAAAACAATTTGAGCTGCCCAGAGATCACCTCTGAGCAGTTGTGTTTTCTGTTGTATTTGTGTTTTGCAAAGGTTGAAGGTTTTCCACAATGTGATGCCACATGTATTAGTAAAGTTGCCTTGAGTTCATTAGTTTCAATTAAAATAATAATCTCAGCTGGATATATACATTAAAAAAATTTGGTTCAAAAGAGAATTCTGTTATAAGTTTAAAATACATGCTTTTTTATTTAAAATTTTTCTAGTACCAAATCTTCACAGCTGCATGGACTATTTACAAATATAAATTGCTGGATTAGATGTTGTGTACATTTGTCTGTTAAATCTGACTGAAGATCACTGACAGAAAGAGTAAGCTTACTGGAAAACAGCTTCTTGCTTTTTATAGCTTTGACATCCTCTGAATATTCTTTCAGTCTGATCATAGTGTGCGAACTTTTAAGTCCAACAGAAGTTGTTTAATATTTTAGATCGAAGTTTAATTGCGAAACATAAAATTATATGAAAGGAAGAACAAAGTTACACTCCAAATTTTCTGTCAGTGAGATAATTTGAAGTGTATACTTTCAAATTTAACAGACCTTATAATTTTAGAGATAAAAATGGCTATGTATGACTGGGTTCAGAGGATGTGAATTCAGAAAATAATTTTTTCCCCTCAGTGCATGACTAAGATTGCAGATGCTTGATCTGTTTATTTCCTTTTTGCTCTGTGTATTTAGTTTTACTGTTCTTCATTCTACACTATGATTATTTAGAATGCCTCAAATCAGTCACTTTTTCCCTTTTGTTTCTTTCCACTCAGTACTCATTTTGGTCTGCAATGCCAGAGTCCAGTCAAATTTTCTTCATTTTATCACTGTTTTATTGCTGCCTTACCATAACTAGCTGTAAGTCTTACTCTTTAAAAAATAGCTTACACGTGTGCTTTGGTGATTGATAACATGACAGTGCGGTTCCGTTTACCTTTCTTCACTTTAAGTGGTAAAGGAAAGGATGCCATTTATACTCATGTTGATAATTATCATATGCTCATACTTGATTCTTTTGCATATACCAGTTTTCTCTTTAATTCCTTGAACTTGTTTTAGTGTTGAGCAGATGTTATTAGTTTCTCATAGTTGTTGAAATATCAGCAGTGACTGTTTGAATCTCCAGATCTATAAGCAACAGTACATGCATTCAAGAATTAACAGGGCAAAAAGCTCCTATGTGTATGAAAAACAGAACTTGCAAAGGCAGAGGGAATGACAAAGATTTTAAGAGCAAATCTTCTCTGGAGCAAGTTGTTGTGTTCACCTCCCACTTTCTTCTTCACGGTGACTTAAGGGCAATGGATAGAATGATCAGCAGGATAGTAGATGCACTCCTAATATTTCTAAGGGGGAATTCCTCTGTGGAATTTATAGTAACTTGTGCCTCCTATACTAGTTAGAATAGTTCCTCTCAGTTATGTTCTTTTAGAGTTTCCTTAGGTTGTGGCTTAAAGAACGTGTTTGCTTTAAAAACACTCTGGCTTTAAGAACTGTTAAACTGTCAGTGCAGGGTGTGTGTGTTTATTGTTTTCTGCCTGAAGGGATGGAAATTCACGCTTAAATTTCTGTACGGAAATAGCTACTTTTGAAGCAGGCAACAACTATTACAAACATGTTCCCAGAGCAAACAATGTTTTTATTCAGAAAAATTCATCAGTAAGTCTGTAGTTCATATTTGGTGCAGCAATGCTCATGGCTAAGTCTAGTAGGTTTTCCAACTTTTCCAGCTTGTTCCTTACTTCTTCACTTTATTAGTGGGCAAATTATGGATGCTATTGATGGTTTGATTTAAGGGGCAGATTCAAACTAAAATGCTTGTTTTTACACTAACATAGGTGCTGTAAAATGCATTTGTATGAGACTGAAAGATTCCATGACTTCAGAAAGTGGTTATATATATATTAAGAGGAAATATCTGTACAGGGATGTTAATCAGAAGCCTAGAGCTGAGAATTCTAGAGATTTAGAGACTATGTAACTATTTCTACATGTGATACCTATTATCCTATATTAGCTGTGGGGTACTGGTCTAGACAGACCTTTTAAGTTTGAGATTCTTTTATTTTAGTAAGTTCTGCTTGAGTAAGGTAGCAAGTAGGTCTGATCAGTGGATTCCTTCAGGCTAATGCTGTCTCCCGAAGATAGCAGTTGCCTTAGTGGAAAGGCTTGGAAGGCTGTTTTCTGACAAACAGGACTCTAGCTATTTTCTGCAGTTTCTGTATGCAAAACTACTTGAAATCTGTGGAAGAGAACTAATCCTCCATCTTTGATTAGTTTTGGTAAGACTCAGGGTTCTTGGGAAATCAAGCAGGCTTTTTTGGTAAAATCAAACCAACCTCTAAATGCATGAAAGATGGGCATCTCTCCTCTCCATGCCCATGCCATGCAGCTGGAACTGTAGATACAGTATTCATCTCTTAAATAGATGCAAATTAACCAGTACTCTTCACAAATATAATGGAGTTGTTTCCATGTAAAACAATGTCTGCAATTCACTGGGATGTTAGTTTGAAGCAGGAGTGACTATATTGAAGCCTTTAACTACTCACAATTTGCCTATAGGTTGAGCATGCTAGAGCCATGCTCACAGGGTGGCTTTTGTATAATCTGCAGCTAGAGGAGTTAGTAAGATCATCAGTCACTGCCAGTTATGTTGGAAGATGCATGCATCCTTAACCTGAAATTAACTGGTGGCAGGTTGGTACAATTCCCCAGGAGGTCAATCCTATGAATAGGTCTGGGAACACTTCTCTTGTTGTCTTTGCAGGTGTACAGTTTGTCCCCTGCGCTGTATAAATAGCTCACAGGCTTATCCCTGGCCTAATCAATTAAAACTAACGTAATAAAAGCATGAAGAAATTAAATGATTTTAATGTTTTGAGTTTGAGCAAATCTGTGTTATAGTAGGGCAAGTATTGGGCAAGATGATGCTGGGTTAATTTTTTTCACAGGAGGTTTCAAACTTGATTTGGCTTACTGTGGTGTCTTGTTCCAGAATGTCCACCTATCTATTTTCAATTCCTCTACCTTTTTGTTCTGGGTCTGTGTTTGCAGGGTTGATCTCCCTTAGTTTAGCCTACATCTGCTAGCCTTTTGCTTTCTTTTCTGCTGCATCACATTCCAAAGTCTTCAGTCAGCTTCTATATGATGGTTTTGTGGGTCTCTTTGAACTGTGCAGTCAAAAGCTACATCCTTTCCCCTGTATCCTCCCTTTTCATTAGGTTTCTTAGTATTTTAAATACATACATACACAGGTTTTACATTTTGTTCTGTTTTCTTTGAACGTATTAGGTAAGATGCAAACTTAGCCTTTATGGAGCGAATAGAATTGTGATTTATTACATTATAAAATCTTGTTAAAATTAAGTTGGTGTAACTTCTGCATAAGACGCTTTTCTCTTGAAATCTGTAATTGAACCAAAGGATTATTTATGTGACGTGTGGAATGCATTGAGAGAAACCTTTAAGTAAAGAGAATCCTAATTATTTCTTGTTCTGTGATAAAGTGCTTCTGAAAGCTAATTTCTCTGTGTCATCTCTAACACATTGTCGTCTGCTGGTGAGAGCCACAAAATAGAAATTGACTGGAGGTGTTGAGCTAGAAAAAGTAGAAAAACTTTTAACATATTGAGAAACCAAGCTTATATTAGAAATTGCTTATGGAAAGAAAAAAGTTCACTTTCAGCAAATCAGCATATTTTTACTTTTTTTGAAAGCTGCTTAGTGTTTTTACTATGAAATTATTTCTTCTGGCTTTTTTGGCTTGTTTTTACACGTCTTTCCTGTTGCCCAGGGCATGCCTGTCGTGAAAGTTGTTTGGTTTCTAGAAATATCTGAGTACTTTATGCTTTTTTTGATGGTTGCTTTTTAAATTAATTCATCGCCTTTGTTCTTTTGCCTTTAGAGCTTATTATATAGAAGGTCTTACAAGACCTTCTGACTGGTATCAGCTTGCCAATATGACCTTAGCTGAATCTGCAGTTCTTTTTATCAAGAACTTCTTAAACAGATATTTCAGCTTCTTTGGTGATGCTTTCCTTCATTATTTTTTCTAATCTGTCTTTATACTTTATTACTTTGCTTTCATAGATGCAAATTGGAAGGACTTGGTTCATAGCTGGTTTCTTTAGCATAGCTTCTAGAATTAACTTGTCTGAACATTGGTGTAGATACACTGCTTACAGTACGCCACTGTCCTCCAGGAATGTAATGAAGATAAGCCTTGTACCAAATGAAATCTATTCTTCCATTCATTTTAGTTTGGTACTCTTGCTGTGTTGTTTTGTGGTCTTTGGTTTTGCAAAAATTAAACTGTTGTCAATTCCAACATCAGCATCTCTGCTGTCTGATCTGAGATTTAAAAACTTTAAGCAGCGTTAGTGCTCTAGTGTTAAAAGCTTTGATACCAGGTACTCTCCAAACCTGTTTTTATTTTTTTGAATGCGGAACTAGAAAAATTGCATAAGGAAAAACATTAACCTCCATTGAAAGGGTATTAAAAAATCCTTTAACTTTTAGTCTAATGAATGAAATTGGTTAAGCCTACAAACTCCGTAATAACACAATAGATCAGTTTTGTATACTGTTACTTAAAAGTAAAAATATCCAAAGCTACTTATCTCTAGGAAACTTAGGAAGGATATGAAGGTATCAAGTTCTGGACTGCATTAAAATAAGGGGTGGCCAGCAGAGAGAGGGGAGGTGATTGTCCCCCTCTTCTCAGCTCTTGTGAGGCCCCATCTAGAGTACTGCGTCCAGGCCTGGGGCCTGTTGTTCAGGAAGGATGTGGAGCTCTTGGAGCGCGTCTGGAAGAGGGCCACTAAGATGATCAGAGGGCTGGAGCACCTCTCCAGTGAGGAAAGACTGATGGAACTGGGCTTGTTTAGCTTGGAGAAGAGACGGCCCCAGGGAGATCTCATTGTGGCCTTCCAATACTTGAAGGGAGCACATAAACAGGAGGGAGAAGGGGGTGGATAGTGATAGGACAAGGAGGAATGGTTTCAAACTGAGAAAGGGGAGGTTTAGGTTAGATATTAGGAGGAAGTTTTTCACCCCGAGGGTGGTGATGCACTGGAACAGGTTGCCCAAGGAGGTTGTGGATGCCCCATCCCTGGAGGCATTGAAGGCAAGGCTGGATGTGGCTCTGGGCAGCCTGGTCTGGTGGTTGGTGGCCCTGCACCTAGCAGGGGGATTGAAACTAGATGATCATTGTGGTCCTTTTCAACCCAGGCCGTTCTATGATCATATTGTGAGGAAACACTACACTAAAGGAAATGAATTATGTGTACATAGTATATGCTTATATGGAGAATGTGAGCAAATTATTACGTTATTTTAACCTTAGGAATATCACAGCTCTTAAAGATAACATCCACGTATCCTCAGATTCTTAATAGATAACTGTGAATGACTGCAGAGGAGGAAAGAAGCTATTGTTTGACTAGTTTGGGAGTAGCATGACTTAAAAGAACTTTCATAGGTTCTGAACTGTTAGTAATGTTCAGCTACCTTTTATTATTTCCATCATTGTGAGTTAAGTTCGCTCATAGGAATAGCAGCTTGGGACAGAGGTTTGTGAAAACATGAGGATGAAGGATGTCTAGCAGAGTTTGTCAAAAGTCACTGAATTGTTGTACTTCCTTGATATGGGCAACATATGCATGGCCATAGCATCATAAATTCATGTTTAATAGATTATATTTGTGAGATGTAATGGTAGTTTAATTTTAACTTGAGTGAGCGGACTGCTGTAATGCTTGAGATTAGGAAACTGCATGATCTAGGGAACGTTTTTTATTTTTTAGCGTAATACAAATTATCTCATTTTGACCAACTCCTTTCTAATAATTGACATCTTTGAGTGCAGGTGCAAGTTCTCAGACTTTTAGGGTGACGTACATGTTCCTCTTGCTTAGATGAAGTGAAAATAGAGGAAAATAGGCTTTTTCTTTCTTCTACATTACCTTAGGTAGTTGCAAGGAAACTTCTTAAATAGATTTTGGATCTGTGATAGTTTTATTCAGATTTTCTTCTGTAAATGTAATGTGGGTTTTAGTACAGGAGTAGCAGTTTAAATAAAAAGAAATGCTAACTGAACAATGGCTGCTAGTTAGAAGGAAATGAAGATCATTCTGTGTTTGTTTACTGCATTCAGCCAGCAGTCTAATTAAATATTTACAACAAAAAGCATTTAAAGGATGCCAGCACTGACCGCATTTTATGCACGTATGAACAACTGAAATGTATTGGAGTTGACATACGGCTTCTATGGTTACTTAGTTTGCTTATATAAAATAAATCTGTGTTGCCTTAGCGTACAGTTAAGGTAATGTTTTCACCCCGAGTAAAGAAAGGTATGATTGAATTTGATATGGAGTAGATGTTTAATTGTTGTTGGGTTTTATTTGCAAATCTTTATTATTTGCTGTGATGCATAGCCTAGCATTTGAATAAACCTCAGTGGTCTGCCTGAAGTAAGAACATCTTTTATTTAGGAAAAGAAAAATAAGAATGAAATAATTTTGCATGTTTTGCAAACTTTGCTCCAGATTCAATGTAATGTTTTCATGTGAGCTATCTCTAAGCCAGAAATGTACCTTGTGAGATCAGTCACCAGCACAGACTTTCAGGTCTGGTTTCCTTGACTCCAGTTCTTCCATCTTGCTGAGAAGGGGGAGTGTGACAGCAGCTGGGAGCACGAGGCACCTGGCAGCTGGCTGGGGTCAGCCCACCACTCTTGACTGTTACTAAGCTGAAGGGGAGGCTTAGAGAAAAGTGGCTACTTTGGAGCCACTTCTGGAGAAATAGTTACCTGTATTTCTGAAGGGTAAAACCTGTGAAAGTACCAACCAGCCTTGAGGTTCTCAACTCCCATTTTTCAAAAGTGACTTGGACTTGTATGATCCCCTGATGCTTTGTAACACTTCAGCTACAAATTGTGCTTGTTTCATAATTGTATCTTTTGAAAAATTTCTGATCTTCAAGACTGCAAGGTCTGCTGAACAGTGCAGTCTTTAATTAAGTAGGGGTTTGGATTCTTGGGGAATAAAACAACGCCTTCACTATTTGCTCTGCGCATACCGTTTTCTCTGCCCTCCCAGCCTTCACATTTAGCACAGCGCCATGGAGCTGCAGTGAGAGGCACACTTGAGGAGCACTGTGAGCGCTCTGTCACTGTCTGCAGCATACAATCACTTCAGTGTCACCAGGGCCTACACAGAGGCAGTTGATGGCGTTTCTTTGGAATTGTAGTAGTGTATGGCATCTACTGAAATCTGTAGGATAAGCAAATGCAGAAATTCCTTTCAGCTGCCAGGCCTCTGAAAATGCCATGTTGTGGCCTCGCTGGTAAATGCCACAAATAGCTGAACAGTCATGTAGGTTCAAAAGGCAAAGCTGCATGCCGTTCATGTTCAAATGTTCCACCAACAGGCTGTATTTTAACTGCGGAAAGAAATTCTGATCTTCCCTACCCTTGATTGTTTATTGTAAGCCAAGTGATCTCAAATGTTTTGCTTCTTGTAGGCTGCTATCTCCAGTACAATTCTTTTCCCCTAAAACCTGGTGCACAGAAACAGGATGTGGGCCAGTCACTACTAGCAATAGGAAGACACGGGGTGACCCTGTTTACATTTCCATTTTCTAGTATGGAAATAACAAATAAAACTTCAGGACTAACTGCAATTTACTTAAGCTGTAATTCTTCAGAGCTGTAAAAAGCAGATGTTTTATAAGTAAACTTAAATTATATCTTTCATTACCATTATAAAATATCAGGCTGCAATATTGAAATTAACATAAAATGAAAATGATTTTCTTTTTTTATTTTTAATTGCAGAGATTTGTTTGTTCTTGAGAATAAACTTCTCTAAGACCTTGTTTTTTAGTATTTAATGGATTTTTTTGGGTAAGGAGAGTTAGATAAAAGGCAGCCCTCTTCATTTATTTTCTTCTCAAAATCTCTATACCGTTGTTAGTTATGCTCTGCTTGTTCTTGTATCTTGTTTCTACTAGTTTGATCACCTACTTTTATTGGACTACTCCGTTTTTTTGTTTCTTGAAGACAATGAAGGATTTTGGATTTTCATAAAACCATAGAATGGCTTGGTTTGGAAGGGACTTTAAAAACCATTCAGTTCCAATCCCCTCCACCATTCCTGTCCAGTCTGTCTTTGAACACCTTCAGGGATGGGATCCACAACTTCTCTGGGTGACATATTCCAGTGGCTCAACACCTTCGTATTACAGAACTTCTTCATGATATTTGATTTTTCCCTTTTCAATTTAAAAGTGTTATATGTTTTCTTGGAGTTTATATATGATTCAGAAAAGTCATTGAGATATAATATAAAAATGCTAGAAATGCACAAATTAACTAAAATTAACACATTGGAAAGCTTCTTGATATTTACAAGATATTAACGTAGAAAAAGTTGTCTCACATCAAGTCTTTGCTTATTTAAAAAAATGAAGATCAAGAAAAACTATCTTAAGAACTATTTAGCAACAACTAAATGTGATAAGTAATTAGAATACGAAACGGTACTTAATTTTCCTTGTACTTGCAAGTCAACTTTGACAGTGAGTAGGAAAAGAATGGAAATTTTTACAGTGATATTTATAGTTTTGAAGATATTATATAGTTTTTATCTTAAGAAAACTTACAGCTTTCTAACCTATTTTACAGATATTTTAAGTTGTCCTGACTAATTGTATCTCCTTATTCAGCCTGTTTTATCGATGTTCATAAAATCAAGCATTTACTAATAGTACTTTTTATTTTATTTTATTTTTCCAGAAAAGAGCGAAAGGACAAATTCTTTTTGACAAAGTGTGTGAACATCTCAATTTACTGGAAAAGGACTATTTTGGGCTGTTGTTTTATGAGAATTCAGACCAGAAGGTAAGGCTGTATTAGAGTTTTGTTTTTCCCCGACATTGCTACTGACTGCAGTAGCTCAGTAAGGGATACAATATATACCTTTACAAACATTTGAGCAAACCATTTTTAAACTGTCAATTTTAGTCCACTGTAAATTTGTATCAAGCACAAGATAGTCTGTGTATGTTAACGAAGTTTCTATTTTTTACTTTGAAGTGGTAAATAAATTAAACAATTCCTGGGCTTTATTTTGTTATAATAAAATATTTTACCATCCGTGCCAGAAAAGATAGGAAAATGCTTTGCATTAACAGCCTGACAAACCTGCCAGAGTTTTGAAGACTTTCATTTGTTAGCCTTTTTAAAAAACAGATACACATGATGATAAAATAAAAAACAAACAAAAAAAACAAAACAAAACAAAAAAAAACAAAAAAAAACAAATCTGATCTTCTGCTTGCCTTTCCAAGAATTTCACTGCTGCTTCTCATGTATACTTAATAATGCTCTGACAAATAATATAAAGGATATCTTGGCCCAAGGTTCAAAATGCTAGGCCTTTTAGTTACTTTTCATAGAATGAGAGTGAGTTGAGTTGGAAGAGACCTTAAATATCATCTAGTTCCAACCCTTCTGCTGTAGGTGGTATTGCCATCCACTGGACCAGGCTGCCCAAGGTCCAATCCAGCCTGGCCTTTGAATGCCTCCAAGGATGGGGCATCCACAGCTTCTCTGGAAGAACTGTTCCAGTGCCTTACCACCCTCTGAGTAAAAATTTCTCATATTATCTTATCTAAATCTCCCCTCTACTAGTTTAAAACCATTCTCCCCTGTCCTATCACTATCTCCCCAGGTAAAAAGTCAGTCTCTCTCCTGTTTATAAGGTCCCTTTAATTACTGGAAGGCCCTGATGATGTCTCTCTGGAGCCTTCTGTCCAGGCTGAACAAGCCTAGCTCTCTCTATCTTTCTTCATTGGAGAGGTGCTCCAGCCCTCTGAGCATCTCTGTGGCCAACCTCTGGACCCACTCCAACAGTTTCACATCTTTCTTGTGGAGGCCTCAGGCCTGGATGCAGTGCTCCAGATAGGACCTCAGGAGGGCCCAGTCAAAACATCAAAAAAACATTTCACCTGAGAAGATGAGACTGGAGCTAGTCTGTCTCCAATACTGTGTGCTAGTTTCAGTAATGAAGAGGTGTTTTGACATCAGTATGTTCAAATAGGTTATCTTAAGTTCCTTTTGGTAATATGTTTTCTTTCATCTTTTTATACTTGTTTTTGGTGAGCACATTTAGATTGATGAGTTGAGGAACATCTTAGATCAGCTGTTGGCATTCATTCCACTAATTACTAAGAGCCAATTTAGCTTTTCCCTGCATCTGAATATTTGTGGTTAGTAATGCACCAGCTGTTACTCTGTCCACAAACTGAAATATACCTGCAGTCATCTTTTCCGTCATAAAGAACAGACTAATAATTGCAGATTGAAATGGAAAAAATGTAATTCTTTTAATCTTAATCTCTGTTTTCGTGGCAGGAAGTATCATTACATGAGTATTAATTAGTTCAAGTGAAGCTGTTGTTTGCTTTTTTATTTTTATTACTTTTCATTAATTCTCATTTAATTTTTGTATTTGAAATGAAATCTAATTTAGTGGTCTGAATAAATCTGAGAACTTCAAAAACATAGTTGTTTTCTGGACTTGCTTGCTTTGGAGGTTTTCTGTAAAGCATTGAACAAAACACTCAGGTCCTCTGTGTTAATGATTTCTGTGTATAAACTATTTTTACTTGGATATTGTATTTTTTGTTACTGATTTTTAAGCCCTTTATAGAAATATGAGTTTTGTCAGTGTAACAACAAATAGTACCTCACTCGATCCTCTGAGCAATACCATAGCATCATTTATTTTTTGTTGTAATCACTGACAGTCCTTTTGTGTTACTCAGTATTCTTGGAAATAATGAATATATGAAATGTATTTCAAAAAAAGAATTTTAACCCCTAGCTTCAGTGTGAATCCTCACTTACTGAAGTGCTTACAGTCTCTTGTAGGTTGCACAGTCTGTACTGCATCATGTGCCTCAGTCGTATAGGTTTTTTATTTTCACTGCTATTGTCACTCAGGTTACCAAACTTAAAGCTGTCACATTTGTACAACACAAATTATTGCATGTTCTAGTCCTACTTATGGTATAAATACATCCTGACAATAAGACACTGCAGTAACTGCATTTCATAAGTCAGAATTCCTAGTTGTGTGCTGAGAGATTTGTCATTCTCGCCCCCACCCCCCAAACCAATTGATGTTTCTTTCATGTCTGTAGATTTGAAATAGTACAGCCTTACAGAATGGAATCAGTAAGAGAGGTGCACTTTTGTTTTTAAAGGATCTTAAGATTTTCACACATCTCATCATCCTTTCATTCTTCCCAAAGAAAAAAAAAATTAGCATGTATTGATTTATTTAATAGGAGGGGGTGGTGATGCTGATGAGTTCTGTTCACCAATATCTGCCACGGAAAGCTTGGAGACTTGGAATTTTCACTGGTTTTAGCCTTCTCTTTTTCACCTCTCTGTATTAAAATCAAGTTTGAAGTCTTTTTTTTTTTCATCTCAATACTCGATCTTCCTGATACATTTTTCTGTTACGAATATTTCCTCTTGAGATTAAAATGCCACAGATCTCCATCCCTGTCAGTACTAAATACTGAATGATGTGTTTTTTTCCCTCATTCTTGTGTAGTCATCACAGCCACCCATTTAGGAGCCAGCTGTTGAACTAGACAGCAGCTGTGGGGTGTGGAAACTCAATGCCAGACACTCTTTTGAATTAGAGCTGCTCCCTAATGCAACATCAGGGTACCATTGGAGGAGGAGTTCCATTAACTTTCCTCTATGGGTGTTCTGTGCAGCTGGCAGAGATGTTATGTTTTCAAATCATACTGATTTTGTTAGCCTTAATAGACATGTTAAAGCTATTTAGATAAAGTTACTCATTAACAATTTTTTTTCATGACTTTATAAGCATTAAATTTATTGGTCTAATGTGTATTTCATTGCATTACGCCCCCCAAAATTTCATGAATGCTCCATTCACACTGTAAGCAGGCTGCAGAAGCGTTAGAAAGCTTGCGCTCTTATGTTGTGGGCACCAGCTGGAAATGCTGCTTTTCTGAATTTGGACAAAATACTTTTGTACTGTTAGAGAATGTTTTGTTGTTCTTTGACAATTCATTATTTTGTCTTATCTGTAACCTTACCATTCACAAACAAATAGTTTTTTGCCTACTGGAGCAATGTAGTGTACATACGCTTTGTCTTTTGTATTGAAAGACAGACCTGCCTATTCTGTGTTAAGGGGTGTATTTCAGGGGACGTTTTTTCCATGGTGTTTGTTTTATCCGTAACAAAAGGCACAGATGCAAACCAAAAACAAACAAAAACAAAATCCCTGTAATTATGCTTGTAAATAGAAAACAAACATTGATTTTATCTGATGGAACAAAGGAAAGTTGACAAAGTTTGCTTCCAATAAACCTGAGACTTCAAAAATCTGAAAATGAACTAAATAATTTATTTAAAGAAATTATTATTCTTCTGATTTTTCAGCACATTCTGTTTTGTGTTTTTTTTCTTCCTCTCAGCCATAATGAAAGGTGAAATGTTGACACAAGCATATACGCATGTATCCTAGTTTTCTGCTGTAATTATGCCACACTATATAATTTATATTTATATTGCTTAATTTATAGTATACTTTGTGTTAAGAGTTCATGGTACTTTTTAATTTTATCCATAATTTGATGAAAAATTGGGAATGGAATTAACAGCAAAATTAAAAATTTAGCATGATAATTGTAGCTGAAACTTCAGCTAAAATTATTCTAAGACTTCTAATGTATTTCAAGGCTTTTCTTTGTCAAGATTCTTCCAACAGGTAGTATTTTTTGTGATTTAAGCAGAATAAGTGTTATGCGGATTTTTTTTTAGGAGCGTTTTATATGCTTGTCTTCACAACAATTTTGTGGACTGTGCATCTCTGAAAGAGTTGTAATTGTTACAAAGTGCAGATGTTGTGCACTTCCTAAAACTGAATGAATATGGAATTATCTTTGTGTTTTAATTGCAGCTTAAGAATTGATTAAAAAGGTTTTTCTTGCATTTATTTTTAAATAGTATTTGTCTAATGTAGATGATCAGCATCAATGACAACTAGCTTGGATCAAGGTCATTTGCAACAAGAAGCTTAGTATTTTGGGTTGTATACACAGAAGCCACGTTGTGTAGCAGCAGAGATCTACAATAAGGATTTGCAGTAGAGTAAAAGTGTAGTGTAGTTTACATTCTTCATAGAGAACCATAAAAGGATGATATAGCATGCTTTGTTTGTTTGAAATAGACTTATTTTTTTAGTGGTAAAGTCTGTTTAAAAGGACCCTACGATATTGTAAAACAGTTGTTTGGGTCTACAGTGTGGCATCAAAGACTGAAAGTTGGCTCATATTGTACCCAAGACTCGGTACTTAGGTAGGTTAGGCAAGCAGTGTTGATGGAGTTGCATCTTTAGAAATGTTAGTGCTGGTGCTTAGCTCCCATCTGATCTTGAGGCTGCTACTGTCTGCAGTGGGCTACTGAAGTGTAAATGCTCTCCAGAGAAGCAGGCTCCATAATGTCTCTAGGCAGCTTGTTGTTGATATGAACAACTGACTTGGTGTGCATTGTCTAAAATAGAGCCAGGCATCTAGTTTTGAACGTTGCCACTGTGTCAGTGTTAAAATCGTGCATGTTCATAGAGAACTTTGCTTTGGGGAAACTCAGAAACTTGAGTCATTTTTCAAAGCACCTTTGAATATTATCAGAGCTAGAATGTATGCTCTTTAAGAAAAATGATGGGAATAATAAATCTTCAGATATCAAGAGAAAAATCTTGTCTTAAATAGCTCTATACAGGTGTGTAGGGACAGGCATGTAGGGATTACGTAACTTTTCCTGAGAAGTGCACTTATATCAATAAAATGAAAGAAAGTGGCATTTGTCAAACGTAAATTGCTAGGCAACCTCTACCTTAAGAATATCCACTTAGCATAAATAGTCTAAAGCAATTAGACAACCATGAAGGGAACGGCATTACACAGTTTCGTTTATGTACAAGGGTGGGGAGGCTTGCTACCAAATTACAACTTCAGTTTTAGGATTGTCTGGGAAATTTTAAAGAGAACAGATGTTGGAACAATACAAAACTTAATTGCATTGTATGAAATTGTATGGAATTACTACTTCCTCTTGCTGATAGATGATTTTAAATGCTGTTTATTATGTTATTATTTTTCCAGAACTGGCTAGATTCTTCAAAAGAAATTAAGAGACAAATTCGAAGTAAGTACTTCTGTATTTGGATGTTATGCTCCCATTTTTTTGCTCACAGAAACACTTTCTGAACTCAGTAGTATGGATGTTGCTTAGAGTGCTGTAAGAATTTGTCTGATAATGATGGATTCAGCCTTAGAACAGAAACCAAGGCTTCTGTGTCTGTCTGCTATCCAAGGAGTGAAACAGACTTGTGCTGTAGAAGTTAATCATTATACTGGCTGCTGACCCAAACTCTTCTGTTTTATATTTGACTAATCAGTTGATATTTTTGCATCTCAAAACAGTGAACGTTATTCAAAGGTTGCTGCTATTTGAGCTATGAGGTGGAGAATCTTATCTTCCAAAATAGTCATATTTGTTGCCGTAGGGCTCTTTAACTTCAAAGACCCAATAGAAGAATATGAAACTACAAGAAAATATATCTTACAGAAAGCATGTATTTGTTTTCAAACCTGACCAGTCCAACGTTGGCTTTTTTTTTTGTTGACAATTGTGGAACTTCTGAGTACTCTTTACAACGTGTTTCAGATTAAATGCCTGTGAGAAGTCTATTTCCCATACTCAAGATAGAATCAGAGAATCATAGAATGTCTTAGGTTGAAAGGGACCTTAACAATCATCTAGTTCTAACCCCTATACAATGGGTGATGTATTTTCCTCTGTTCCCATAAAGTTCAGTCAAGTATTTAAATAGCCCTGTAACTTCTACAGTAGACAATAAATTCAGGAAATACTCTTCCTGACTTTAAATGTCTCAAAATAACTACTAAAAAGAGTTAGAGCAGCTCTTAATGAATTTCTTCTTGTTGCATTACATATTTATGACCAACATGATTTCCTTTTATTTTTTATTATTATTCAGTGGAAACGTTCTTTTGTTAGAGGCTGAAGGTGGGGAGATAATGCTAATTTTATGAGGAAGTAATGATAATAAAATGTGCCTACTCTTCCAACTCAACAAGAATATAAGTTACTTAAGAAACTGACTTTGATCTATTTTGAGGTGTTTGACCCAGTTGGAACACTTATTATTAAGAAAAGCAGTATGTTAATTAAACCTTTTGATAATCATTACAAATGGATGAAATCCCTTATGTTAAGGAAGGCATGTGTTTTTATTTTCAGTGAAGAAATGAGAGTTGCAGAAGTTCCAGTGGAGCACTATTTTAATTTAATGTTCTGTTTAAATCTACTAATATGGTTATATAAGTAGGAGCCATTTACAATTATTTTTTAAAGGAAAAAAAAATTATGTATAGTAACTTCTTATTCTGAAGAAATGTCAGGTCTTCAGTAAAAACCTATTATTTGTGTGCTGAAGAATGTTTTGTTAGATTTTAATATTTCAGAAAAGAATGAAGACATTGATGCTTTGTGTTCTTGTCTTCAGTAGTGATCTGCTTTCTATAGACCCTGCTAATGTCACAATTCAGAAATGTAAGAAATGGCCTGCAATTGTTTTGGATGCACTACATAACATTTTTTAATACTATCTAATATGTACTCCAAAACTACTTTAAGGGAATACGATTTTTCATACAGCATGAAGACGTATGCTCTTATGTAGGAGATCAAGTCCAGTCTCAAATTGGGCATCTCAGTTGGATTTTTTTTCTCTGGTCTGTAGTACTTCAGAGTTGAGAGGCATGGTGTATAAGGTAAACAACCAAAGTTGCTTATGCTGATTTGCAAGTAATTAACATACTGGTTTATTCTTTATAATTAAGGTATTAAAATTTCCAGATATCTGAATGTCCTGCAAAAGCAATTTTTTCTTCCCAGCTAGGTGGGTATAAAGAAAGGAAGGCTTTTTGTGTTGTTTTTTTTTTTTCTTCTCAGATTTAGTTATAATTAGGAATAGGTATCTCACATATTAAAAATATTCAATTATAATATATTTAAAATATACAAATTGCTACCTGTCTTCTTACAGTTGTGAAGGTGACAGAAAAACTTGTCTGGCTTCAATCAACCTGAGCTCTTCAGGAATTTTTTTTTAAAAACTCCTATAATTGTGAAAAAACTCAAATTAATCCAGTTAGTTCAGGTGGGATAATTACATTTCTGTCACTGTCTTGAAAAGTGGTATATCCAAAGAGGCTTCAGGCTTTTGCAAAATTCAGACTTCGGCACTTGGGTATAGTAAAGGGACAAACAGTAGCTGCTTTGGGAAAAAATAAATCCTAAATTTTACAGAGGGTATGATGTTTACAGTTACATAAAATTTAATGTGAGAATTTCTGTGCAAGACATTGTACGTGCAGTGTGTAAATAACAATAAATTCAGTTTTGAGTTTTTCTTGACTCAGTCTCACAATTGAATGAGTAAGCTACATAAAGCTGTTTTCATCATGGTACTGTGACTGAAGATCAGTTGTTTGTCAGCAGTAGAGTTTAGATGTGAATGTATAAATTGTATGTTCTAGGAAACTTATTTGCTCATTTGTGTAGTTGAAGTATGTGAAAGTGAGTTATAGACCCGCTTATCTCTCCCTCCATACAAACTTTGAAAATGTCACTGGTGTGTGTCCTGCTTTTGCTGCAGCTATAATTCACGATTTTTGAAATGAAAGTTAAAATTGTAGGTAGTGTTGAATAGTTGTTTAAGTCCAAGGCACTGTTATATCAATTAATTCTTTTAAACTTGCTGCACTATTAGTATTTTTTACTGTGAAAATTTTAAGTTCTACTATGAAATATAAAAAAATCATATTGCATATCATGTGTTGTATATCTGATAAGGCATAGAGAGCATTTGGAAATGCTGAGGGCAGAGGAGACTGGTGTGGGTTTTTTGTGCAATCTCACCTTGTGTACCATATGTTTTAACTATTGAAATTAAGCATTACTGTTTTTGTCATGAGGATACTTTTTTAACAGTAAAGATTCTAGAAACTCATGGCAGTACCCATAGTGTAATTAATCTGTTCTAATTTTGCTTAAACGTGTCCACCTAAGTTAACAGCAATTGTTTTCTGAAGAAGTGGATGCTTCTTCAGAAGGAGGTGAGCAATTGCATTCTGAAATAGGTACCTGAGAGGCAAACCTCTTGGCTATAAAGGGAGACAGTAGTGTCTTACATAGATGATTAAATTTCAAGATTGAATGGAATCATGTCCACTAACATCAAAAGAGATAATAGTTACTGTGACAGAAAAGATGCTTCCTTTTTCTAAAAAGGAATGATTGGCTGATGGAGGGAAGGCAGTAGACTTAATTTACTTGTTCACTGTTTCAATTTAATTGTTGAGGGGAGTGAGGAAAACTAATTCTCTGGAAGTGGATTAGAGCAAATACAGTAATACACCTGTTAAGGCAGCTGGTGGCAAATCATGGGCTATGCATTTATATCTTTCTTTTTATTCATGCTAAAGTCTATTTACAGCATCTTTATCGTTAATGGGCATCCACTCATTCAGACTGGGGAACTTAAAAATGGCCAGATGTAATACTGACCTTGAAACATGTATAACCAGTAATTAAGGTATACCATGGAGTAGTGGACTTTGGGCATTCTTGGTTCTATGGTATATTCTGCAGATAAGACTAAACATCTCAACTTCTCAGGATCAAAGATAAGAAGGAAATATGATATGATTAAATATGTGTACTTTCAAATTGCACAGTAGACCAAATAGTGATAAATTAATAAATAGAATTCTGACAGAATTGTGTAGTGCAATTTTAGAATTTTGCAACACTGTGTATTACAGTATTTAAGGTTTTTCCAATTTGTACATTAAGTGCTACAGGAAATTATAATTTATTAAGGAAAAGACTAGGATTTTAATATACAGCTCTAGCTGTTGGATTTTATTGCTAGCAAAACATATAGCAAGCTCAGGTAAAATATATATGCCTAAAATGACTCTGTATATGTATATATATATATAAACATGGTCAGTTGTATGTATGTGTAAGGTCACTTTATTTTATACCCAACTCTTCTATGTAAATAAGTATATACATGTGAAATTCATAGTTAATACAGATCTACCAGAATTTAGCATTGAAGAGAAAGAAACACTTCTGCTAAAGGAAGAGCTGTCCTGTGGAAGTGTTCCTTTACTCCTCTTAGTTATAAAAATGATTTTGCAGTTTACAGTTGAGTTTGTGAGCTGGATCTTGGTCCAGAAAGGACTGGCTGCACTCTATTTTTGTTTGTGCAGCTTTGAAAATGTGGGCTGGTTACAGATCTTCCCTATTGCTTTTCTTAACTTCATGGAGCATTTTTTATCTCTCTCTGAACAATGCACCAGTCCTAATTGCACAGTATACTAAAAATTGTTGTCTGAGGCACAGAGAGGAGTGGGCAGGCTCTTCAGAGGCATCTGGACAGACTGGATCACTGGGCTGAGGACAGTGGGATGAAGTTCAAGATAACCAATCTGTCCTGCACTTTGGCTACAACTCCAAGCACCACTGCAGTCTTGGGGCAGAGTTAGCTGGAAGACTGCGTGGAAGAAATGGATCTGGGGGGTGTTCATTGGTGCTCGACTGAACATGAGCCAGGCGTGTGACCAGGTGGCCAAGAAGGCCAATGGCATCCTGGCTTGTATCAGAAATAGTGTTGCCAGTAGGAGCAGGGAGGGTTCCCCTGTACTCTCAGGTCTGGTGAGGCTGCGTCTTGAGTGCTGTATTCAGTTTTGGACTCCTCACAACAAAAAAGACATTGAGACCCTGGAGCATGTCCAGGGAGGGTTAACAAAGCTGGTGAGGGGTCTGAAGCAGATGTCATATGGGGAGCAGCTTGAGGGAACTGGGATTGTTTAGTCTGGAGAGGAGTGTCAGGGGAGACCTTATTACTCTCTACAATGACCTGAAAGGAGACTGTGGCATGGTGGGTGTCAGCCTCTTCTCCCACAATAGGACCAGCAATAGGATGGTGGCCAGGGGTGGTTCGGGATAAATGTTAGGAAAATCTTATCAGAAATGCTGGTAAGTGTTGGAACAGACTCTGCCATGGGAGGTGGTGGAGCCACGATCCCTGGAGGTGTTCAAGAACCGTGTACATGTGGTACTGAGGGACACGGGTTAGTGGACATGGTGATGAGTTGGTGGTTGGACTAAATGATCTTAGAGATCTTTACTGACCTTTATGGTTCTATGAGTAAATGCTATAAAATGTGTTGTACTGGAATAAAAACTCACTGATTTAGAAGTTTGAATGAGATGAATCATGTTAATTGTATGTTGCTAGCTGCTTAGTTATATTGCACTCTCTTTCTCTAAGAATGTGCCTAAAGTTTCCACAGAAGCATTTTTGAGGTATCAAGCTGTCTAGAAATTTTTTTGACATTTTTATAGTTTATATTGTTAAGACAGAGTTTTGTCGGAGACAAATTGCTTAATATCATTTTAAATACCCTTTATTTTTATATTGGCTATCAATTCACAGTGTTAGTAATAGCATGCATTGTTGTGTGAAGACAATTATGTGTGTGTGCCTCTGTGGTGTGATGATCTGATTATAAACAGCTTGCTGTACTGAGAACTAGAAATGTAGGTTATGTGTGTTGTAGTATACTTGCTGGTCTATGTTTTGAGGATAAATGTGTTTTCAGTATTCAAAGTATAAGGTTATCAACTGTCCAGAAATTTTTTCGTAGAAAGTTAACTACATTTTTTTCCTATGAGCTAGTTGTGGGAATTAGCATGAGCAGACGTGGAGTTTTTCACGTAGTCTGTAGATTGAGAGGATTTGTGCTCTATTTAGCTTTTAGAAGCATTTTTTCCCTGTTTCTCCTCCCCTCCCCATCAGCAATGTCTGGGTTCCTAGTTAAAGAGCTTTCTGAAAGAGAAAGGTAAACGTACTGACAACAAAGAGGTAGAAGTTAAGCAGGAATTAACCTGTGACTGGTTTGACTGTAATCTTAGACCAAGAAATTTCTTCATGCCAAGAAACATTGCTTCATTCCAGGAAAGCGTTGTCTGGTTAGCACCTGTGTGGAAGTGCAACTTTTTCCCCATAGCCTCCATTATCATTCCAATTCCTAACTACTGTTAGGAAGGTTAGCATAGGTATTTTTGGCCCAACTGTTTCTTATTATCAATTGGATTTACTTAATATTAGCATTAAATGATGTCTAAATTCCTGAGAGGTTAGTCTATTATTAGTCTATTTCCATTGTATCATTTATTTCAGTTTTCGTTCTATTTGTTCACCTTACAAGTTGTTGTTAGAAAATTTCTTACAGTATTTTTATCTCAATTCTGTCTTGTGCTAGATTTCAGTAATTGATGCATTGATGAGGGATATTTTACCCAATTCAGTATTATGTGTCCATCACACAAATTAGGCTTTCTTATTTAAGGAGATGTCCCTCAGTTTGTAAGCAAAGCTATCAGTATCCTAACAAATGATTACATTAAGATGCATTTCATTGTTAACCTCTCTAAAGGAAATAGTGAGTTAGCAGCCAGCTGAAATTCAAAGTTCTACCTAAAGAGAATTATGCAGAAATTAAAGTGCTCTGGTGAGTTCTCATGTCAGAAAATCTGAAGTAATTTTTGAAATGCTGGAATTTTGACACAAATACCTTTTCACTTTAATAGCTTTGAAATTTTAAAGCAGTGGGTTTTTGATATCTAGGAAGACAACCTTAAAAAATGCCAGCGTTCATAGTATTATGTTGGAAATGGCATTTTGGTAATTTCTTTTGCCATAATAGACATCTTTTAATGTGATTTATGTTTATATTGCAGCTTTTAAAAAATTTTACTGGAGGTTCAAAATTCATGGTTGACCAGCTTTATAAAATCCTTGCATTTTTGCTTTTAAAGTTATTTTTATATCTTTCACCAAAAATATTTTTTGTATTAGGAGAAAAGGAACGAGAGACAAATACTCTAGTTAATTTTATTTATATTATTGTTATTTTTATCTTTCATCATTGTTTTTGGCAAATTACACTGTAGTTTTACTCTGTGTCTGGCAAGATATGATAAAGCTTAGCTGCTTTGAAACAGCATGCAAAAACAAGCTATTAAATTCTTTTTCTGGCGTTTTATTTTAGTACTTTCTTTTATATATACATGACTGCTGTGCCAATAAAATTTGTTTGAATTTGTAAAGTTCTGTATTTTATCAAGTCATTAGTATTTTTCAATGAGCATGTTCTTCTTGAACATGGATTTACTAAAGTGTGACATTCTGATAATGGATTTTCCTTATTTGAGTGCCTCACATCTTTAAGGTTTGAAAGCTGTTTTGAAACTAGAATTATGATTAAAGGCAGCATTTTATGCTTTGTCAGAATATTAGCCTAGTTTTAAGAGTGCTTTGGCATGTAAGGTGAACATGGTGTTAACAGTTTGACACATGTTAATTAAAAATTTAAGCACAATTGTTACAGTTACTAAAGGTATTCTTGTTTGAGAAAACTTTAATGATGTTAAAATGGCTAATGTTTTGTCTTCCGTGCATTCAATAACAGTTTAGTTTTCTTTCTGTTGTATGCAACACAGACCTTATTTTGACATCTCATATTCATAACAATTGAATAGTCCATCAAAGTACAATCAATTTAAACAGGGAGATTGTTAGCCCTGGAAGTGTTGGTAATAAATGCAGACTTAATGCAAACAGTTGTATGTATTTGAACAGAATACCTCAAAAGTGGTAAGATGGTATGGTTGTTTTCAAATGAAACATTTGTGCTGTTTACGTAACTTGTTGTAAAACATTATAAAAAATAAGTTTCAACATATTAATATTTCACTGTATGAGTTAACTGATAATGAAAATAATCTGTGGCTCTTCATAATATAAAAAAGGGAGAAAGTACATTCAAGTATTTTCTTCAAGCTTTCATTAATCTAAGATTTACATGACTGCCTAAAATTTTTTTCAGGAAGGCGGCTTTTTTGCTTGCCTCATCTGTATTTGAGCTTAACAGCTGTTTCCTATGTCTAGGTTTACCTTGGCTGTTTACTTTTAATGTGAAATTTTATCCTCCTGACCCTTCTCAATTGACTGAAGACATCACTAGGTATGCATAGTTCATAATTTTAAATTGAAAAAAATAATGTTATATAATCAAATTAGACTTCTTTGGTTTCTGGATGCCGTAGCAGGTTTGACTTTTACTATACAATGCTAAAGTTGTTCTTATGTCAACTACTCTTAGGAATGTTGATACGAAAGAGTTCTTTGGCATGGCAGAATTGTGAGATAACAGAAATTTCTAAAGAGGTATTTTTTAATAAGAATGAGAGGCCAGTGCTTATTCAGGAAAAAAAGAATATAATGATAAGCAGGAATATGATTTGGGAGGAAAACAGGAGGGCGAGGTAAATGAAAATGATCATGTCTGAAGGAAATCTGTGGCTTATTTTTGGGCTACTGCTTTATTATAGAATAAGTGAGAGTATGGTTGTATTGTACCTTGCACTTTCAAGGATATAGCCTTAAGACATGGAAATAATTATCTTCTTAGATCTTACGTCATATCCACTGCCTTTTCAGTGCTTTCTAGGCACCTAAATTTTACAGAATTTTAAGACAAACCACCAGTGGATAGAGTTTGTTCTATTTACTCATTTTTTTCAGTAGTTAGGGAAAACATAAGCACTTGCTTTTAGTTTGGAATTAGTTAATTCTGCTGAGATATGTTATTACATATCTTGCATCTGATCAGTCTTCTGCACAAAATAAGATAGCTTTACAAATCTGTAGTTGATATATTACTACAAGTAACTTAAGACCTTCAGTATGCAATATATCTTAACTGTCTTGTGTTTACTTTGAAACTTTTCAGTAAGTCAGTTGGCCTTTGAATTGCACAGTCAACTGAGAAAAGAATTTTAATGATAGCTTAAAGCTTAATTCCTTAAAATTTGGGATTCACTTGTAAAAATTTTTTTAATTAAATATCTGTGCTAGGGCACAATGTCTGCTGATTGTTAAGTTGCTATATCTAAAAAAAAGATCATCTGCAGTCCTTGAAGTTAAATTCTAGTCTGTATGTGGTTTAAGGGAGACAATTATGAGTTCAGTATTAAAACAGATTTGTACTGTACATTACATGGTTCAGTCAGCTAGTGTGAACTATGGGTATATAAAAGTTACAATTTTTAAGCCAAAGGGAGAATTCAGTAGGAAATGAACAGGAAATCCATATTTGTAAACCGTAGACAGTTGTAAGTCAAGAATGTGAAATGAAGTCATTCCTAAGTCTACTTTTGTTACTAGAGATATTTTTTCATTCCTTTATACATTGGAAATCAGAATTTTTCCTGCTTTTCAGATTATTTATGAAAGTGATACTGACTCTTGAAAATTGAAGGCATTACCTCATAGTAAACTGACTCTCAGATAAAACAAGGTGTAACAAATTACTAATGTACTCACTTGCTTTAAAGTGCTTCTATGATGACATGTATCTGGAGAAGTTCTGCAATATGAACTTGAGTTGGTAAATTGGTAACTTTGTCTGTTTTTGTTTTTTTTTTTTTTCTTCCTCCCCTCCTTTTCCTTTGTCTTGCAGATATTTCTTGTGCCTACAGCTTCGCCAAGATATTGCCTCTGGTCGACTGCCATGTTCTTTTGTGACTCATGCCCTCCTGGGTTCATATACCCTGCAGGCTGAAATGGGTGATCATGACCCAGAGGAGCATCGTAGCGACTACATCAGCGAATTTCAATTTGCACCCAATCAAACTCAAGAAATGGAGGAGAAAGTAGCTGAGTTACACAAAACACACAGGTCTATCAGATATAGTGGGACAAATGCTTTGTTACGCTTGTGTCATTTCTCTTAAGAGTTTATGTAAAACAATTAAACTGAAGTTTATTGTTGCTCTGGAAGTCTTTTGCAATATAACTGGAGTCTCTTAATTCCAAGCATTTGAAAATCTTAACTTCAGTAAGATATCAGAAAAGAATAGTTTGGAAAAACTCTTTTGTCAAAGCCTATGAATTAGTTTGTTAGGAAATGTTGACCTAAAAATGTTGAAACAGTGAATTAAAAAAAAAGTATTAGAAGAATATCATATACTCTGAAAGAACAGTTTCTCATTAGGGCAAATGTGCTATTGATACCTTTATAAACTCATGTTTTTCTATTCCAGTTAGTTTTGATTGTCAGTACTTTTGTCTATGAACTCAAGGTTTGTTCAATGGTTTTAGGGGCCTGACTCCAGCACAGGCAGATTCTCAGTTCCTAGAAAATGCGAAGAGGCTCTCAATGTATGGAGTGGATTTGCATCATGCCAAGGTATTGGGGTTTGGTTTGGTTTGAAGACAGTGCTTGATATTAAAGGGTGTAGCATATACAGATTACTTCATTTAAAATTTCTCAGAACTTCAGTAATTACATATATGCCTTTTGTAGTAGTTCATTTGTGCTTGTGAGGATGTGAGATTCTGCTGTGTTGGTATGCTACAGTATGGCTTATCCAAGTCTTATCAGTAAGTGCTTGGTTCTGTAGCCTCCTAAACAGACATCAAATGCCTGTAAATGGCACAGAATGCTAAGATACATTGCCTGACAGTACTTTGATTGAAATTATTATGTTGATGTTTTCATTTACTTATCCGCTACTTCCTGTATATTGACTGGAACAGAAGGTGAATATAAGTTATCACCATCATCATCAACTTGCTCTTAATTTCATTCACAAATTGAAAGGTCTGTTATTAATTTCTTTTCTTCGTATATTAAAAATTATTGAATGTACTCCTACCATACTTCTCCTAGTTGCATGTTGTTGACTCATTCTTATCTTCAGAATATATGAATTTCCCAGAACTGTGGCATATGCAGATAAAGTAAAGTCATTACTGAAGTTCAAAATGTTTCCTCTAAAATTGTTTTACTTAGCTGTTTCTTCCTTAAGTATCTCATTATCACTGTCTTTCAGGTTTGGATATGAAACAAAATTCTTCCTTCAAGGTTATACCAGGGATAATTATTCTTTTTGGAATACTATTAACCTGATTTTTATGAAACTGTCTCATATATGTTAGGATTCTGAAGGCGTGGATATCATGCTGGGTGTATGTGCTAATGGACTGCTCATTTACAAAGACAGACTGCGAATCAACCGCTTTGCTTGGCCAAAAATTCTAAAGATTTCCTATAAGAGAAGTAATTTCTACATCAAAGTCAGGCCAGCAGAAGTAAGTAATCGCTTTCTACTTTGCCTTTTTTTTTTTTTTTTTTTTGTCCAATCATTTCTATCTAGCAACAAAATAACATCATTTTACCAGGCACTCTAGCAGGTTTATGCTGGAATTGAAATTAGTTGGATTTTTCTCTTCAAATTCTATGGCTTATATTAAACACTTTTTTGGTTAATGAATGTTATCTGAGCAGAAAATCTTTTTTCTTACTAGATGCAATAGTTTTACAAATAAATCTAGTACTCGGCCCTTGTTTTCCTGTTCATAGAAACTTGCAGCCTTAAGGGAGAAGCCAGACTCGCTTCCTCTTTGGGTATAATTGTTCATTAAATGTCAGTGCTTTTAGTTTTATGAGTGTAGCCAAAGGCCTGAATTGTCCTGTAGGATGCTCGTTTTGCTAGCAGCCATGGAAATACTGAATTCAACTTTCTTTTCAGTTACCATTGTAAGTTAATGAAAGTTGATAAAGGAAGAAGGCTTACATTTTGAACACATTTTAACAGGAAATTCTTAGTAGAATCATGTTGAACTTTATGAATTTTACTCTGAAATGTTTACGGTATCTCTTATTGTGTGAATAAATAAGACAAAAGATGTTAGTGAAATTGCAGAGCTGAATAGAAAAAAGTCTTAAATTTATTCCTGAATTATTCTAGGCAAGATATGTACAAATATAAATTTGTAAAGAAATTTTCAGTGGCATGCCAACTATTTTTCCACAGTCTCATGTAAAAGCAGTATTGCTACTGTCTGCTGATGTGAAATCAATTGTGTTTATAAACAGTGAGACAGGTTTTAAATATATATTTTTCAAGATGTCTTGTTTAAATTTCCATAAATTATTAGCACATGCAGTTTTATAAAGCAACTCATCATTTCCCAGAACAGTTGTGTTTCCTCACCTAAACTTCAGAGTAATTTCCAGACCCTGTTCTGTTGACATATTGAAGTGCAGAACAGTATCAGTTTGAAGTCACTTGAAGTATTTTAGTGTAAATAGACTTTAAATGAAGTGATGGAGCTGTAACAATACTGATGGTTCTTGCATTTCACAAGGTGAAGTAATTTACTTTGAAGTCTAAATGCCAGCAATCCAATACAAACATTGTAGTTTTGTAAGTTCTGGAATACAGATGTATAAACATAGATATAATATTTTTTCTATTATTGATATATAATGAAACAGATCAGTCAGAATGACACTACAGTATGGATTTCAGATTGGTATTAAATCCAATGAAAGCATACATCACAACCTGCAGTACAATTACTTCCTGTAGTTTAAAAGTACATTGGGCAGATTGTCAGAAACTAGCAAGAAAAACTGAAGTATTATTAGATTTCTCAAGAGGCATTAGTACAAATAGGAAGTGATAAAGTGATCATCACCTATCGTGACTAACCTACCCAGTATCATTATATTAAAAGATCAGAAACTCTGGAGTTTTGTGTTCTTTTCTTTTGAAGTCTTATGACAGGAGAATTATTGCTTGTTACAGTAATGGAACTATGTGAATGGCCTTCTAATTAATAAACAGCTTAAGGAAATTGACTAATTTACTTGTGAATTTTTTCCAGCTGGAACAGTTTGAGAGCACTATTGGATTCAAACTGCCAAACCATCGGGCCGCTAAGAGGTTATGGAAGGTTTGTGTGGAGCACCATACTTTCTTCAGGTAATTAATAATTCTCTGTTTCCTCCAGTTTGCCAGCCAAACTCATGTATGTCTTTGAAACAATATGAGAAAAATAGAGAAGATTTCTCCCCTCTTTTACCTTATTTTCTCCATCAATTGACACTCTTTAGACAGAAGACATCCTACTGGTCATTGACCACAAATTACCAGTTTCAAAGATTTCAGGTACAATTGACTGTCATTTAAACTTGCAGCATGCTAACAGTATGGAACTAAACTAGTAATCATACATTGTGCTAGCTGAAAGATTGACATTTCAAAATGAGAGTCTAGAAAGCTGATACATGTCTTCAAAAGAAGCTCTGAGTGTTTGACAGTAAACTTCTGAATCTGGATTCTTGCTTGTTTATAAAATAGGCTGAGTTCACAGTCATTCTTTAAAGTAAGAGTAAGAGAACAAAAAGAGTGCTATTTGTTTACATAATAAACTTCTCTCTTTTTTTTTTTTTTCAGTAACTAGTGAATATAAAATTCTGAATTGATCATTGAAACTTTAGACTATTTGTAAATGACCACTTTAACAATAGAGTTGTTTCTGTTTTCACCATTGAAAAGTAATTTGATTTTTTTAATAGCACAACCTCCATGAGGGAGTGCAGCTACTCTTCTAACCCAGGAGTCATAGAATCATGGAATTGTAGAATGATAGAATGACTTGGGTTGAAGGGACCTCAAGGATATGAAGTTCCAACCCCCCTACCACAGGCAGGGCTGCTGACCTCCCCATTTAATAGTAGACCAGGCGGCCCAGAGCCCCGTCCAACCTGGCCTTGAACACCTCCAGGGATGGGGCATCCATAACTTCTCTGGGCAGCCTGTTCCAGCACCTCACCAGTCTCTTGGTAAAGAACTTCCCCAATATACAACCCAAATCTTCCCTCCCTTCCCTTAAAACTATTTCCCCTTGTCCTGCCATTATCTTTCCTTCTAAAGAGCGGGCTCCCCTCCTGTTTGTAGTTTCCCTTTAGCTACTTGGAATGCTGCAATTAGGTCACCCTGCAGCCTTCTTTTTTCCAGACTGAACGAGCCCATCTCCCTCAGCCTGTCTTAATAGGAGAGGTGCTCCAGCCCTCTGAACATTTAGTGGTCCTCCTCTGCATGTTCTCTAATAGTTCCCTGTCTTTCTTGTATTGGGAGCCCCAGACCTGGACACAGTACTCCAGATGGGGCCTCACGAGGGCAGAGTAGAGAGGGACAATCACCTCCCTGTCCCTGCTGTCCACCCCTCTTCTGATGCAGCCCAGGATACCATTTGCTTTCCAAGCTGCAAGAGCATACTGCTGTCTCATGTTCAGTTTTTCATCCACCAGGATTCTCAGGTCCTTCTCTGCAGGGCTACTCTCAAGGATTGCTCTTCTCAGTCTATATATAGGATTAGGTTGAACCTCTTATGCATTAAATAGGCATTGTACCTTGAATCATAGCTTCTCATGGTACCATGGGTAAGCTTTTTCTTTCAATAGCCTGTTTCTTACTTTAAAAAAAAAAAACAACATATATATATATATATATATATATATATATATATATATTAATATGCTTTCAATCCTGTCACTGCATGCTTGGTATTAACTAAGCACACACTAAACAGAGGACATGAGGAACATGACACCTAAGCAATTCATTAGTAGAACTGTCTCACTGGGCAGTTTTCAGTATTCAGATTTTCACTGAATCCAGAATGTACTTGAATTGAATTGAATGTACATGTGACATTTATGTATATATTGAGAATGACAATTTAAGTCCTTACTTTAGAAACAATAATTTCAAAACACTTGTTTTTTTCATGCTTGATAGAATTCATTAGGTAAGTTTATTAAGATTAATAGCCCACTATTGTTTACTTCAAAAATTTGAAGTCTCCTTTGGTTTGGTTTGTCTGTTACTCCTAGTGGTATGCAGATCTTTTCTGGAATAGCAAGAACAAAAGTACTCTTCAGATAATTCACGTAGTGTTTTGCTTTGGCAAGAAAACTGTATTTCCTAATTTTACAGTAATAAAACAGATGTAAATGGAGAAGAAAAAAATCTTATGGAAGTAAAAAGTCCTGAACTGAGAATTACCATTTGCAAATAGAAAAATTATCAGAAGCATTAATATGTATTAGATAATCTTACTACAGAAATTCTGACATAATAAAATCAATTGGATTTCATTCCAATCAGAAATGAATTTTTCTAATCAGGAATGACATGATGACAAGAATTATGTAACAAATACTTTAACCATTCTGTAAAATCCATATTCTCCACTGATGTCATCAGACTCAAAATCCTCAGAGCCTCTCATCCTAATTTAAAAGCAGTAAAATAAATCCAGCTCTGTTTGTCTCTGAAGATAAACAACAGAAGCAATCACTGCAGTGCAAGACTCTATAGCTTTTTCATAGCATGTATATTGCTTGTGTATACCTCAGTAAATTGCATTAAATCTAGATGTACATTTTTAGCTTTTAGATCTCTCAGCATGCCCTATGTGACATTGAAAATTCCTTACAGTACTTCATGATGTTTCAGTTTTTCTCAAATAGTAATTACATTAAAATCTATTTTCTTATAAAATAATAGAAATTAATTTAGCATATGAATTTGTTTATATACATTTATCATGAACTGTGTTGTAAATTACAAATAAAAGCCACTGGATTTACTTGTGTCAACTCGGCCTTATAGGATTTCAGTAACATTTTCACAGGTCAACAGCCTGCTTTAAGAAAAATAGCTAGACTGTATAGCAACATTAATCTTCTGAAGTAAGCTTGGTCTGCAACTCTGGATCCTAACTAAAATGAGCTTATAGTTCTGCTTTATGAAGTTTTATTTGAAGTTTTGAAGATTGTTTTAGCATTTTCCCAGTGTGTCTTAAAATGGTGCAAACATAGTGTTCAGTTATCTTGTGTAATTAAACTTGTAATACAAAAAATACATTTAGATGTCCTTAAACGGGAAGTAATTAGTTCTCTTGTTTTTTCCATGTTAAAAGATTAAAAGTTTATCTCAGCAGGGTGGAACATAACAAATGGCAGTTAATACTGTATGCTTGCCAAGACTAGGAAATCCAGAACAGAAAGGAACTTGGAAAAACACTCTAGCCTGCTTCCTCTTAATGCATAATGTACTCTTGAAAAAGATGTGGAGAAATAAATCTGTCACAAATATTGCTTCAGGATGTTTTTATAGAAGCAATGAAAGTAAAGTTCCAGATACATGGCCTTAGTGCAGAAGAGTAGATTATTATGAGAATTGCTTTCTTTAAAAATATATTGTGATGCGTTAGGATTCAGGTGCATGTTATGCATATTAGGCATGCAGGATTGGATCTTTATGGCTAGCATTCTGATGAAGCCCTAAATTTCTCTTAAAGAAAATGTTAACATTCTTCCTCTCTCTCCATTGGTTTTGCAAAGTATCTGAAAACTACTCAGTGTTGTTGAAATATCTTCAGAATAATTTTAAATTTTCAGAACCCAATATTGGAAACTGTCTTAAAAATACTGGATCTGATTCCACTTACATAGATATTCCCTGTGCAAGTGCTTCAAAAATGTAGAACAAAATCAGCATCAATTGTCTTACTTGTCCGTTTGTGCCATTGTAAGTGCAATAGATATAGTAATTGTTGGTTCTTCTCGAAAAAAGATGATGTTCAGAGGGACAATAGGGCTTGGAAACTCCCATGCAGAGTGTGTGTATTTGCAGTACCATGTTGTTTCAAACGGCAGCATCAAAAACTTTTCTAGAGAAGCAGAAACTAAGAAGAATTCTTACAGTGATGGCTATTGATCCTATCACTAAGGATGTTACTGTAAGAAATAGTACCCTCTGTGCTGAAGCTGATGACTCAGATTATGAAAACAGAAAGTATAAGCAGTGAGAAGATAGAAGTAGGAAAGGGGAAACAACCCCCATTTTCAAGAAGGGAGAAAAAAGAAGATCCAGGGAATTACAGGCCAGACAGTCTCACCTCTGTGCCTGGCAAGATCATGGAGCAGATCATCCTGAGGACCTTACCAAGACATGTAGAAAATAAAAATGATGTGATTGATGGCTAACCAACATGGCTTCACCAAGGGCAAATTGTGCCTGACAAACTTGGTGGCTTTATATCATAGAGTTACAGCATCAGTGAATAAAGGAAGAGCAGCTGACGTCATCTACCTGGACTTGTGCAAACTGTTTGATGTTGTCCTGCACTACATCTTGGTTGCCAAAGTGGAAAAGCATGGATTTGATGGATAGACCACGTGCTGGTTAAGGAATTGACTGGTTGGTTGCTTACAGTCAGGGAGTTGTAGTCAACAGCTCAATGTCCAAGAGGAGACCAATGACAAGTGGCATTCCTTGGGGTTCAGTGCTGGGACTGGTGCTGTTTAACATCTTTGTAGGTGACATGGACAGTGGGATTGAGTGCAACCTCAGCAAGTTTGCAGATGACACCAAGCTGAGCTGTGCAGTTGACATGCTACAGGGAAGGGGTGCTATCTAGAGGGATCTGGAAAGGCTTGAAAGGTGGGATCATGCCAACCTCATGAAGTTAAACAAGGCCAAGAGCAAAGTCCTGCATCTGGGTCAGGGCAATCCCAAGCGCAAATACAGGCTGGGTGGAGAATAGCTTGAGAACAGCCCTGAGAAGAAGAATTTGAGAGTGTCAGTTGATGAAAGACTCAACATGAACCAGTAGTATGCACTTGCAGCTCAGAAGTCCAACTGTACCCTGGGTTGCATCAAGAGAACTGTGACCAGCAGGTTGAATGATTCTGCCCCTCTGCTCTGCTTACGTGAGACCCCGTGTAGAGTACTGCATTCAGTTCTGGGGCACCCAACTCAGGAAGGGCATCATGCTGTTAGTGTGGGTCCAGAGGGAGGGCCATGAAGATGATCAGAGGGCTGGAACTCCTCCACTACAGGAACAGGCTAAGAGAGTTGGGGCTGTTCAGCCTGGAGAAGACTAGGCTGCAAGGTGGATCTTATAGTGGCTTTCCAGTACCCAAATGGGGCCTACAGGAAAGCTAGGGAGGGACTTTTTATAAGAGCATGTAGCAATAGGATGAGGGCAAATTGCTTTAAACTGGATGAAGATATATTTAGATTAGATATTAGGAAGAAATTCTTTACTGTGGGGATGGTGAGACAGTGGAGCTTGTTGCCCAGAGAGATTGTGAATGCTTCCTCCCTGGAAGCATTCAAGGCCAGGCTGGATAGGGCTTTGAGCAACCTGGTCTAGTGGGGGGGCTGTCCCTGCCTGTAGTAAGGGGGTTGGAACTAGATGATCTTAAAGCTCCCTTCCAACCCATACTGTTATAGGTATGATAGGTTGAATAAGAGCTTGAAGTTTTCATAAGGAAATTAGAGAACTTGACATTTATCAAATACCTTGCAGCAAGGTCTGCCAAAATGTTAGCTAGGACTTTCTCTAACACTGACTGAACTCTTCAGTGCGAACATGCATATCCAGCACAGAACCCAGCATTGGTACTACTCATAACTCAATCTTTTTTACCCTTTTCACTGTAAGCCTTTTTTCCCCATTCTTCTTGTATCTAGCATCAACGATATCTATAAGCCACATTGTAACTAAAATGGCATCTGAATCTAGCTAGTTAAACTTTTTAAAGATGAATGACAATTCTACAGTCATCTTGATTTTATTTTTTTTTCCCACTTGCTACAGCCTTCTACACAGCTTTGAAATACCATTCCCTAAATTTAAGGAACAGCAGCTGCCTTATGGGTACCTCAGAATATAAGAAAGACAGTGGAAAGTGGGTTATATAGTTTCCCCTATAAGTAATATTCAAACGAACAAGATTAGAGAGGTCTTCTATATGGATGTACAATGGCCTCAACTATCCAGAAATAATAACATTTAATAAAGATAGCACCAAAAGATAAGGACCCCAGATGCTTATTTGTACTGTGGAAAATGTGTTAATTAACAGCATCACTTCAGTTCCAAATGCAAATAGTAAATAGTATGTATTGTATTAGTTCATCTCAGATCTTATGGTAGAATCCTTTCTTGGACTGCACAAATCATGCCTGGTGAACTAAAGTTGCAATATAATAAGTAGCATTAGAAGTACCTGATTAAATACATAAAGTGTTTTTAAGTGTCTTTCTTTTTACTTTTTAGACTTCTATCACCAGAACAGCCTCCAAAATCAAAGTTTCTAACCTTGGGTTCCAAGTTCCGCTACAGCGGGCGTACGCAAGCACAGACACGACAGGCTAGCAACCTCATAGACAGACCGGCTCCTTACTTTGAGCGCTCTTCAAGCAAACGTGTTTCCAGAAGCCTTGATGGTGGTACGAAATTGATGTATTTATTCAGTACAATGATTGTATTTCGTATGGTCACCCTGATATGAGTTCATATTGAGAGACCTTGGAGATACTCAGAATTCAACTGGACAAGTCCCTGAGCAACCTGGACTCACTCTGAACAGGTGGTCCAACTAACTAATCTCAAGATATTCCTTCCTAAATTATTTTGTGATATGTCAGAAATTATGACAAGAGTGTATTGCTGTTCACATCAGCGCAATAAGAATCATAGACTTCATAGACAGCTGAAAAATAATGTCACTCAGTAACAGGCCTGTAATCCTCTTTGTTGATATTACTATAAAATCGTTTTATGAAGTCTTAAAAATAAAACGTTCTACTTACTCCAATTAACCAAAATTATTTTCTTCTTTAACAGCTCCTGTGAGTATCTCAGACCAAAGTCTAAGAGACTTCCATACTATGAGAGGGCAGCCTGGAGGAGACAAAATCATTGACCTTGAAGCTGCTGGACAAGCCAAGTTGAAAGAAGGTGGCAGAGAAGATGATGGAAGCCCACTCAAAACTCCACAATTAGAGTTGATTCAGGATGGAAAGGTATGGATGTCTTTCACACCAAAATTATTTGTTCATGTAGTGCATGTTTGCTTATTTAAAGCCCACCACCTCTGAGCATCATACAGAACACCGTATTAAATGTTTAAAGAAAATTGTCAAGTATTTTCCGTAGTTCATCTTACTGTAAGCGTATGCAAAGAAAAGTGAAGGTGTAAACTTGTGTTTAACATCAATTTTCCCAGGGTTTCTTTTATTTCTGTAAAGTTAATTTGGATTTTCAGTGAACTTGAGTGAATTTTGGAAAAGTATTTAAGTAGTAATTTAGCAGAATTATTTATTCATTTAAAAACTTCTGTGTTGAACTGAGATACAGATTTCTGTGGAAATTTTCGTTGACTTCTGTTTCTTTGGTGAACAACCACTTACTTATTTGTTGAAGTTATTGGTGAAATAGGTAAAAAAAATAATTCAGAGTTTGCAGGATTTTGTATAAAAATTTCCTTCCACAGTTTTGGCTAAAACTTTGGAGTTGTGTGATTATTATCTCTCTCTGGGATGTTACTTATTTTTCTATCAGTTCTTCAGAACTTACTTTCATATTTTAAAAGTAATTTTGTTTCAGAAAGTTTTTTGCCAGTTAGCTACCCATTTGAATCTTAGTGGTTTGGACTGCAGAGATTCTCTGTGCAGCTGACATGTTCCCACTGCACTGAAGTATAGGAAGGGAACAAATACCAATGTTTTTTGTTGCTCTAACTACTTGAAAGTATTTCTCTAACTACTTGAAAGCATTTCTAAATTAGCCTAGGAAAAGGCACACGAGAACTTCATTGGTGGGAGAAAAATAGTTAAATTACTATGTTTTGACTTTGGGCTTGATAAAATGATGATTCTGCCTTGTTTCTGAAGTGGTAGTATCTTTCAATCTTTTAATCAAGAGAAGAAAAAAAGCAGCATTTTGGGAAGTTTTTCCATGAAGCTGATTAGTAAGGTTTTGTTGCACATACCAACTCTGTGAACAGCTCTTTTTTCCCCCCTAAAGCACTCTTTAAATCTTAGAGGAAACAGTTATAAACCCAAGAATCAAAGTGCTGGCTTGTCTTTTGTGTACTGCACTGTCCCCTGACCTTTCTGCCAAAGCTTTGAATGTCTGTCTGCTTCCATCTGATGCAAGTGACTACTGCAGTTCAAAAGTGCACAATTCTTAGCAGCTGGAAAACAGAACATTCGTAATGGTTTTGATTTCATAATCCATAGAAGTAAACAAGCTGGCTGCTTGTAAAACACAAGGGATTTCTATTTTTATTTGGCGTTTCTATTGCGTTAATAGAGCTATCCCTAAATAAAAAATTTCACTAACAAATAATTTCTTTCTTTCTCCCTCTTTTTGTACCTACAAACTTGCATTTTGTTGTGCTTTCATTTTCCACTGTGCATAGAATTTATTTCTTCAGCTCACTCACATACACCCGCCATCACTACCCATTCATTCTGCATCATCATATCTCACAAATTTGTCACCCATCCCTGAGATGGACATGCTTTCAGACATTTCAGAGGAAGATCCTCTCTGTGAGCCTGTCCTTGCCATTTCAGATGTCTTGGAATTTAATTCTATGAGAGAAATTCCAGATCATAAAGAAAATAAAATAGCTCCACCGAACAGTAACTTTGAATCTACGAGAGCCCTAGCTAGTCAAGGCCCTCCTGCCACGGAGGGAAAGATCTGTAGAAATGAATACAAAAATACTGAATTGTGTGTCTCATTCAGCTTTGTCAGATGCTTTTCTTTTTGTTTCCGATCGCTGCTTGATGAAGATGGTTATATTAGTTTTCCTAGCCTTCCTGATGTTTGCATCTCTTTCCTCCCACCTGGTCTTCAGCACTATGTTCCTATCACCTCTCCTTCCTTCATCCCCTCTTTTCTCCTTATCTTTGTGCTGCTTCTCTCAGCTTTCCAGTCTATTCCTCTTTCACTCACATTTTCCCTTCCTCTCGCTCTGTCCCTCTGCTACCTGGAGCCTAAAGCGACTTCATTTAGTGCCTCTTATGACAATGACCTGAATGACAAAGCAGAGGAAGAGGAGGTGTGTAATTCTGTTGCTTAAATGTTGACTCAATGTATAGCCATTATGCCAGTTCTCCCAGAGGCTTCCTCAGTTTTGCATACTGGCAGGGATATGTGTATGTATCTTTCTAACTTTTTCTGTTTTTGAAAAACTGCCATTTGGGAATCTTTAGTCAATAGGTGGGGTTTTTTTGCTTTTGTTTTTTTGGGGGGAGGTTGGTTGATTTTTGCCTGAATTCATGCAGCATGCATAATTTTATGATCTTCCACTCTACTAAGGTAGAGTTGCTTTGTAGTTCAGAATCTTTAGAAACAGAAAAAAACTGAAAACTGTTGTGAAATAACATACCTAATATTATTATCTCCTGATAATAATTGCAATTTGTATTACTTGCACTGTCAGTTTGTGTGTTAAAATGCCTATCTCAGTGCATTCACTTTGCAGTGCACATCTCAGAAGTGCTGTGAAGATCTGAAAAGTGAAATTCCTAAATGCTAAATTCAAAAACGATCGTGATTTCTTTAAAAGTAGCTTTTGCTATTATAGATTTTCAGATCTTCTACAAAGATATGTTCAAAATTGAGTCTGAAATATTTTTTTTTCTGAAGTGCTTTCATTAATTGTTAGCAGTAGTTAAGGCGAAGACTGATTTGATTCCTTAGCTGAGATTTCAGGTTTTGTCAGACGTTACTGACTGAACTCTGAACTCTTTGAAATACATTATTATAATGCTATACAGAAGTCTCTTCCACATCAATATGTTGCTCTGATCATCTGGAGTGGCTGACAGAATACCTTCTTTTCTTTACTGTGCATGTTAGAGCAACAACACCATGCACTAGAAAAAGGTGGTTTATTTTGAGCCTCAAAGTAAATATAAAGGAATATAATGGAATCAAAAGTGGGGAAGAGGGTCTGTTCGATGTTACGTTTAATAAACTTGCTCATACCAATTCAATCAATAGATACAGTATATATTAAAAACGTGCTAAATAGGACACACAACTCTAGTTTAATAAAGAAAAAAATCACTTTCAAGATTTTCTTATTTTTTTTCGGTGGCCTAAAGCAATCTATGATAAAATAAAGTTTCAGACAGAATCATAGATAAGTGAGAAATGAACAATAATGTGCTATGTACCACATCACATGTGCATTCACACAATCTAAAATGCAACAGTACATGCAATAAGTAAACCACTCTTCAAATGTGCATGTTTGCACACACTGACTTCTCAAGATGGTTGGTATTTGTACCTGTAGCAAGGCTGAGATGAGAGGTGTGGCTTGCTTTTTAAAAGATGCCTTTCCTTAGACCATTCAGAATATTTGTGAGTAAGATGTGAAAATCACTTCCAGCAGAGTGCATTGCAGTTTGAGGAAGAACATATTCATCTAAAAAGGAAGTTGAAACTCTCAAAACATCAAAACGTCAATCATCTCAAAACAACAAAATTCCTAGAATAATTAAGACAAATTCTAAGTATATTATTTAGGTGTTTAGCTTGAGTTCTAGAGTGTTTTACCAAAAATAAGTCATGCATTATATTCCATTTTCCCATCAAGTCACTGCAGGGCTTAAGGTTTTTATCATAGAAATTATACATACCATCTTTTTCTGTCATTCATTTTTTAATATCCATCTGAGATAACACTGAGAAGCAAGTGGGACATAGTGTGAAATTTCCATTTTTTCATGCCACATACCAAGTATTACTTCAGCCATTCTGCAGCAATGTAGGTGAAGGAAGACCAAAGTCGCTAATAATTTCAACAACATCTGGGGCCGAAACAGTAAAGGTCTGTAAATAACAGCACGCTTTGCAGCATTTACAAAGAGATGATGCCTCTGTTATTCTGTAAGCGTGTGTTAATGGTTCCTTTTCTTGATAATTCACAATCTGCTTACGTAGATGGAATCTGAAGAGGAGGAAACGCAAAAGAAGGTGCATAGGTTTTGTTTGGTTTTTATTTTTACTGTTAAATCTGGCTGCAGTTGCCTGATTTTTTTTTTCTTTTTTTGTTAGGACCTTTAAGTTTCTATGTGTTTTTGTCTGAATAGTGCCTTTTAAAAATATCGTTTTATTTCCTGTATTTGACTGTCTTTTACCAAGAGTTTTGTTTTTTTTTTTTTTTTTTTTTTTTTTTTTACAAAACAAAAAAACTTGCTGGTACATGTTATGTTAATTTGGACTTTTTTTTTGTGTGTATGTGTGACTTAATTTCACAGAGCAATTCGTTGAGAGTAGACGGGGAAAATATTTATGTCAGACATAGCAATTTAATGTTGGAGGTTTGTATATAATACGAGAAACGCTTTCTTTTCTCATGGGCTGCCAGGCTGCGTGGGATGGGAGGTCACCTGCAGGCTGTTATGTACACAGTGCATGAAGTGCATGGGGAAAAACAGCTTGGAAATGTTGCATGTTACACTTCTAGTTTCTGAGTTTTTAGAAGTTTTAGAAAAGAAAAGAAAACCCTTAGCTTTAATGTTTAATGTGTATTTTTGCTGGATGTTTTCAAGGTGGCAAGTGGGAATAATAGCCCTATTTAGATATATGCAACACATTAGGCTGATTCATCAACATAAATAGGATTTTTTTTATACGTTACTACCTAAAGCGTGGATTTGCTTTGTTGAGTAGAGTTTCCAATTTTCACCAGTTAGATCAACTTTTTTCAAACTGTAACCTGAATTAGTGGAGCTAGTAAGGCACAAGTAGTGGTGTAGGGTATAGAAAAACTAATTCTGGCTTTGACAGGTATTTTTGGAGCTTTGAGAAATGTAGGTAAGTATCAGATTTTTAAAGTGAGTGCTTACAAATGCTTATGAAACTTTTGTTTTACCTTTTCATTTTTCAAATGGAAGCAATCTTGCTCCCTGAAGGTTGACTCTCATTGATAATGAGCAACAACAAAGAGCTTTGAACAGTATTTTACTGTGTAGTGCTATTATTAGACACTGAAAAGGAGATTTTTATTTTATTGTAAGGGTTTCCATGTAGTTTGTAGATGTGTATTGATCTGTAGTTAAAATCAGCATCATTTAACACTGTCATTAATAACATAAGCCAGTAACTGAAGAAAATCCAGAAAATCCTACTGTTGTCTTTAACTTATTCATCCAAATGGGGCTATAATTAATTCCTTTTGTCACAAAAACTGTCTTTTTAAAAATAATTGGTTTTGTTAGTTAATAAGGTGGTATGTGGATCACAGTAACATAACTAATACTTTTTTTGGCTTTTCGCAGCTTTTGGTCACTATTCAAACTTTGCTTTTGTAACTTACTAAAGCACTGAAAGCATACACTGCGTAACTTTGCTGTGATCAAGTCTAGGAAACATGCCTTGTGTCAAGCAAAGACAGTTTTTAAAATCATGACATGAGTATTGTCACTAACTTCATTTGTGTAGTGGAATGCCCTTGGTATAGTGTTTCAGTGTTTCAATCTCTCTGAAAATAAACACGTAAGGAGAACATATTTAATACCCCCTGGTTATTTGTCCTAGATGAAAAGTGAGGCATTGGTCCTGTAAAAATATTAACCTACTGCATTACCAAAAAAGGGAAAGGTTCTTAGTGTTCAAAGTGTCTATCTGAAGAATTGGAGAATAAAGAAATAGATTTGCAGCACCTTTGATGCTGAACATACAACTGAAAAGACATCAGAAATATAAAAGTTTGTATTGGGTTTTGTATTTTATATTACTTGACAAGTTTTTTGATACAAATTGCTGTATCTGAGACTCAGTGATTCATAATAAAATGTAATTTGATATTGACACTGGTGCCCCCTTTGATGCTTGCCTGTGAAGATCCAGTTTAGACAAGAAGCTCTCATGGGTTTTGTGCTTATCAATATATATACTTGGCAGTTATATCCACAGTCAGGTTCTTAAATGTGGAGAAGACTAATAACGGTCTTTAAGTACTTACATCTGATTCTTCCAGTACATTTAAGCCTACACAACAGGCACAATGAGTAGTCTCTCTAAAGTGAATGATGCAGGTGTTAGTTGCTTGCATGCTTGGCCCTGGGTTATCATGTTCACAGAAATATATGTCTTGCATGAAGCTGGCAATCCCCAAATTTTTCCTTCTCTGCTTAGAAATTTCAGATGAAAGTAAGTAATCACTAGCAATTGTTGTTTCAAAGGGCGAGTAGTTTCTTAATATGGATGAAAATGGCTCTGTTAGATAACTGTGCACAGCATTATCTTTTCATTGCATTAAAACGTGGTAGCGTTGTAGTATATTAGTCACCAAAAAATTAACTTTGTTCCATTATGGCCTTGAATTTTTAAGGCATTCCAAAGAACAGCTCTTCAGACACAAGGCACTTTCCTTGGTTTGATTCTTTTTTATTTTTTTTTGTAACTGTTAAGTTTGCTTTTGTTGTCGTGTTTTGTCCTACTTTGTTTCACGTTGCGGGTTGCTAGGACCTGGATAAGACTCAGGACGACTTACTGAAACACCAGGCTAGCATTAGTGAGCTCAAGCGCAATTTCATGGAATCCACACCTGAACCACGCCCCAATGAGTGGGAAAAGCGGCGTATCACACCTCTGTCCCTACAGACACAAGGGGTATGTCTTGTAGACACTTGTCCGCATGCATTTCCATACAACCCCGTAGACAATGTAGTAAATGCCCTTTGTGCTTTACACTAATTCGTCTGGCTAATGTAATACTTGTTTATACTATGTGCACGTTAACTTTTTACTGCTTATCATTGGACGTGGCTTTAAATAATGTGTGGAATTTTGTTCCACAACAACTGGACTAAAGTCAGTAGACGAAGCTGGAAGCAATGGCAGTATTTTGTTTGTGTTAACGGCAGCTTAAACTCCACTCTGAGAGATATAAAGAGTTAATTTTTCAGTGACAGAAGTTTTTACTCCGTGTGCCTTTTGACTCTTCCTAGGCAGCCTTTGCAGAAACAGCTCTGACCTGTGTTGTTTGCAAAGGACTTTATGTGATTGGTTAATTTATGTTGTTGGCTTTTTTGATGCATATTTACTGTGGTCGTTAAAATTTATTCACCTTAGGCTCCACGTGTATATAAAATGAATTTACCTGCTTTTTCACTAAACGTTCTTTCTGACTAAACATTAAAACAGCAGTTCGGAAAGCGATTTTCCAAAAATCATATCGTAATTATTTGTGGCAGAGAACCTGCCTAGTCAAATTTCTGTCTGCTCTTGAACTTCTAAATTTGAGGAGTTAATTGCTGCTTCTTTTATGGAGTAGAACAGCCAATCAGTCCTCAGAAACAATCAGTATATCCTCTGTCTTTCCCTATTATTTCTACCACTCCCAGTGCAGGGAAATTACTCCTCTTATTTTTGAGTACTGCGCTAGAATCTCTGCATAGTGATACATGCACAGGTACAAATTTACAGAAGTCTGACACATTGAAGCTATAAATATCTATTTGGTTAAAATAAGCATCTATTTAAAAGTATAACTTAATTTTTATGTGCTTGTGTGCATTTTTTATGTTGACTTCTTCATGTTGAAGCTAAGGCCCTTCCAAGTATTGTTCGTTTCTCTTTTGTTGTTGTTGTTGTTGTTGTTCATTTAGTATGTTCTGTTATTTTCAGATGGTTTGGTTATATGTTTATGAATAGTATGTATCTGTCTCATTGCTTGTTGATTTACACTGGTTTTACAAAATGAAAACTAAATAGAAAAAAGGAGACCACATTTTCCAAGTGAAAACGCTGCCTGGAAAGGAGAAGCAATGGACTGCAATGCCATCAATTTCTGGAACAAAACCAGAGGAAACTGATAAGGTGGCTGCCCTGAAATCTACTGCCTTTTTGCTGTATCTGCTGTGGGCTGGCTTGGGCGCTTCCTTCTCTTTCTTTCCCCTCCCTCTCCCCCGCTTCCACTGCTGCAAAGAGAAGTTTGAGTTTCAAACCAAGATCTGTATATATGAATGCCAGCAACATTCTGCTTAAGCACTAAGCTGAATATGAAATTGAGTGGTTCCACTGGAAAATTACTGTATTTTATGTGATTTGGATGACAGCAAAACATGTATTTCCATTCTAGGTGGAAATAATTGCTTGCTGCTTGCAATTATTGTGTAAAGTGTTACATATCTTTTATTTTGTGTATTTACTATGTAATCATTTCTCAAATCAGTAATGCTAGAAATGCAGTCACATTCTGAGTATCTCCATGCTTCAGTACTTTTTTGTTAATCCAGGAAAAGGGAGAATTTTTTCTTTCTCCTAAGCTGATTAACATCTATGCAGTGAAAAGTGCTATATAATAAGTGGGACTGCTAGCAGTATGGTAGTGATGATGGAGGTGGCAATTGAGATGTTGGCTTTTTTACATTACTTTTAGACTGTTTTCCACCACCTAGGAAATGAGATGAAAACAGATTGTAAAGCTGTCAGTCCTATTTAAGTAACACATATAAATACCAGGATTGGGATAAAGCATATTTTCATCCCAAATTATTTGTAGATGTTAGTAGTTAGAATTCAAGCTCTTTGTTATCTCTAAATTTAAACTTCCTACGGTTAGTACACATTGCTCAGTCTTCTTCCTGAAAGATACATTTTCCTGCCTATCTTTTAGGATAGTTGGATAATAGTTGAGAATAAAACAAGGATATCACTGCTAATATTCTTCCTTTTCTTCCTTCTTTTGCAAAATAATTGTGTATAGGAAATGTTGCATTGAATATATCTCATTTGTATCCCTGTACTCACACAAATGCACAGCATCTGTGACTTAATTAAAATAGAAATTGTGGTGCAATTATATGTGTCATACAGACACACACACACACACAAAAAAATATTATCATGTTATGGTTATCCAGAATCATTACTCTGGTTGTTTGTTTTTTGTTTTTTGTTTTTTTAAACCTCTTTTACTTCCAAACAGCATCAATGTGTCTGTGTGCTAGAAGATTGTTTGCCAGGAAATTAGGCATCTTCAGAGAGTGATGCATTGTTGTAAATACAGTAGTTGGTTCAAGAGTGCCAGTTCTATCCATACATCTGGTTACTTGTACCAAAGGCCTCCTCAGGGAGCAAGGGTTACATTGTGAAGCAAATTGTGCTAATGGAGTTTTCTTTTTAAAATATTAGAAGGCAAAAAATCGTTAACATTGTTTGCCTTTTTATCCAAGCCACTAATAAATTAACATTCATTGGATACAGTGAATAAGAAAAAGAAAGTGATGGTGAGGAATACATTGCCCTGATGAATATCAAACATTATATGAAGGTAGATGTAATCAACTTGCATTTTCTTAACATTTTCTTGGACGCCTTTGGGATATAATTCAAATCTTAGTGTAGGGAAAAAAAAATAGTTCTTTTTCCTTTTCTGTTCTTCTGCATGCCAAACGTACAGCACTATATGCATGGTAGCATGGTGTAACATAAGTGTTCAGATTCTGTGTTGCCAGTGCACAGTAAGCCCACTCAAACAGCAGTTATCTGCATGGCGTTATGCCTTTCCTCTGGCATGTGCTTCTGCCCTATTACCTGGCAAAGCGTATGTTATGTCCACGTTAGGTATCTGGTACGCTACTGCCTTTTTATTTTAACTGTTCATACTTGTAATGTGATATAAGAGCTTATGAAAGTAAAGCTGAACTTTGCTTTTTCAGAAGGTTGTACCCACAAGAATTTCAAAAGCTTGTTTTACCATATGGCTTTATGGTAGTACTAAAAACAGATCAGGCTATAAGCAACTTAGGCTTTAAACCTTGTAAGCTTCTATGTACGTTTGAGTAAAACAGATTTTACTGATACAATGGGAAAGTTTTTGAAAACAGATTCTTTGGTAAATGCAAATTTACTCATTTTAAGTAATTTAAAAACATCCTTTATGAGTAAATTCTTTTTAGCTTTGTGGAAATGTATTGTTTGAAGCAAATGTGTGTGGCTGCCTGAAGCTATGAAACATAGAAATTACACAGTACTCAGAATAGACTTTTAAGTGAGAAAAATCCCGATAGTAATAGAAGTACTTCAATTAAAAACTATTTTGTTAGGAAATCCATAGAAATATTTAATGCTTTCAATTTTTACAGTGTGAAGTAAAGAGCCGAAGTACATGCTTGATGGGCACAGAGCATTAGATCGCTGCTGAGCACTGATTACGGCAACGTTCTGTCGCGTTCCTCTTTCTCGCCTTCCCTGACGCACACGAGGTGTCCCCTGAGCTCGTACAGAACGCTCCGGATCAAACGCTTGTCTTCGTCGTGTTTTCTCTCTTGCCGACCCTTTCCTTTGTAGGCTGCTGCCGCTTTGTCCGTCGCCGTCTAATTCTTTCCTTTCCCTTCTCTAACTCGTCTAGAGCCTAGAAGAAGAGATAGCGTCCATTTTATTTAGCCAAGAGCGCTTTGGTGCCGGCCCGGACCGGCCCTTCGCTGCCGCCCGCGCGGGGCCAGCAGAGGGCGCTGCGGGGGAGCCGACCGCCGCCGCGGCCCCGCCGCCCCAGGTGCTTCCCCGCCCCGCCCTGCCCGCGGCCGCTGCCCTGCTCCCAGACGGCCGAGAGGGGGCTGCGGCTGTGACGTGCTGCTAGAGCCGGCTGGCTGCTTTGGGTGGTGGGAGGGAGTCGGTCAAAGAGCTTAGTTACGTACTTGCTAGGCAACGGGAGTAATAACTGGCTGCTGTTGCAGCATCGCCAGGCGTGCTGGCCTGCACTCTGTTAAGTGCTTTTCTTGGTTAGCAGCCATAAATGTTAGGATTAAGTCACAGATGATGTGTTGGTTTTGTACTGTTGCTGCTTGAATTCAAACTGGTTTTCCAGAGAAAATTCGATAAAAATTATGTAATACATAGTGTTTAGTGGGCTATCAGGCATATATATCACAATTCATTTTGTTGCAAAACAAATACTAACGTAGTTGCCTTAATCTCATCATTTGGGACTCAAACTAAATCCTAATGGGATCATCTTGGCAGTCACATGTTGCTATTTTGACAAGATACAAGCATGAGCAGCCTCCCTCCCAAAAGTGAACAACTAATAAGCTCTTACAGTAGTTTCTGTTTCTGTTCTTTTTATTATTATCTTGTGTGATGATAAGCCAATACCAGAATGCATTTTTCATATATTTTCCCATGGTATTTTTTATTCCTAATTCCTGATTCAATTGAGATAAATAATTGCCTCAGTAGCATCACTGACCTGTAAATTCAAACTTTTATTTTCAGTCTTTCTTAATTAAATTGCTTTATTCTGCTTAATAATGTCCATAATACTTACCTGATTTGGAATGAAATATTGGAGTGAAGTAGAAGGAAAGGAGCATAGTTCTAAGTGAATCTCACAGTGAATACACAGTGCCTGTTCTGTATCATGCATATGTATTATTAAAGCTAGCTTGAGGAATGTTATGCTGTTTAAAAGGGTTATGCATTGATTTTTGTTCTCTGATTGCTTTTCGTTTCACAGAAACATGCTTCCAGAGCAGAAGGACCTTGCACTGAAGTCAGCAATGCTGATAAGGTTCTACTGATTTTTCCATAGTTAAACTTGGCTCTAACTCTTCCAGTCCATCTTCATTCTTTCTTTTCAGTTAACCATCACAACCATCTTTTGTCTTCTACATGACATGAACCAACCATCAACTAATTTTGTTTCCATCATTTTAATTTATTCATATAATCTACTTTTGTTTTTCCTCATCCATGTTTTTGTGCAGAGTTCACATGAGACTCTGGACATAGTGGAGGAGAAGAAGCAGGCAGAGGTTGGGATAGAAGAAACACTAGTCATAGACGAAACCAACAAAGGGAAAATACAAGTTGCCACTGATGCTGGGGAAACATGTAAGGTGGAGCACTTGACAAAAAAGGACTCTTCTTCTTTGCCATCAGATAGTAGTAGCAGCAGCAGTAGTAGTGAGAGTGAGGATGAAGAGGTGGGAGAATACCAGCCACATCACAGGGCTGTTGAGGAAGTCATCAGAGAAGAACAGGAAGAAGAGGAAGATGTGAAAAGGAAAGAACATGAAGAAAAAACACAGCACGTGGAAGCCACACCAGAAGGCAGTCAGCTAACTGTACCAGCTGAGCACACACAAGTTGCAGCTGAAGATTTGGTTCAGGAAAATGCAACTACAATACCTGCAGAGGAGAAGAATTTGTCAGAGGAAATTAAGCAAGACCTAGGTGAAGAAAAGGAGGAGGAACAGCTCAAACTCAATGGAGATGTGTCTCATGTTGACATTGATGTTTCATCACAAATAATTTGTTGTTCTGAGGTAAATGGTAGAACAGTTTGACAACTAGATTAAGCAGAGAGATTTCTTTGGGTGAAAATGTACCTGCCTTTCTTCTTCTCCTATTCTTCCAGCTGTTACGGCATCCAACAAGATTCAGATCATTTGGAAGGGGAAACCACTGAAGAGCAGTGAATTTCTGTCTCTTTCAGTTATGGTTTCTGGCTGTTTGCTGCAACTGGTTGAGAATCACCAGTGAAGCAAACCTTCCGAAGACTGCCATCTCCTTTTTATACCCCCTTATTTTATATATGTATACATAATGTTATTTATTATTTGTGTCTCTTATGTTTTAAGTCTTGTCTTGTCTATTTGTCAATTGTTTTTGACACGTCCATGACACACAATTGTAATTGGAAAATTATTGGTAATTGGAATTAGAAAACATCCATCCCAAATTTTAGCTTCTTCTTTTCCCTCATTATTCACTGCTTTTCTTACATTTTTTCTTTTTAACGATGTGTTATGAAATTAGAGACTTGAGTTAGTATTTCTTTCAGTGTGTATATATGTTTGCTATTACACTATTTAGGGAAGCATAGGTTAGTTCCAGTCAGAGTCACTCGATTTTAGCCAAACAAGGTTGGAAGAGTACTTTATTGGGTCATCTTTGTAGAAAAAAAAAAAGAGAGAGAGAGAGAGGAAAAAACAAGTGGAAAAAACACAAGTGTGGCTGTGCATGTCTTTGGAACGTGAGCATGATCTTTTACTGAGGTTTTCAAAAATTGGGAGTTATTTTTTTCTTGCTTGTGTTACATCAGTGGCTCCTTCTCCCCATGCACACTTAAACAGCTTTTTATGTTCTTGTCTTCTAAATACATAGTCTCAGGTGTTCTGACTAATGACCTGAAAAAAATAGTTTATAATCCCTTAAAATCCAAGAGTCCAAGTTGTTTTTCTGTTCCAGTAGTGCATATTCAGAAGTTAAACTTTTACATTATTACTGGAATTTCTTGTCCTTATTTGCAATTGGGCTAAGATATATTTTTCCAGTATTAATTTTGAAGCATATCCACCTGAGGTAGCTATCAGTTTCTTATTTGATGGAACCTTTACAAAAACAGCTTTTTTCTTATTTTACACATTTTAAATACCTTTCAACTGGGTTTTATCAATTACCTTCTGTGATATTTACCATTGGCTGAAACATGGAATATTGGCAAAGCTTATTAGGAGATAGGTATTTCTTGTCGTGTATGTGCATTAATTATATCATTTCACTTCAATTATTACATGCTTTACAAATGAGAGACAAATACTTACCTTGATCTTAGGCTTCTTATGTATTTTTTATTTTACTTTCTTGCTCCATTTTACAAACTTCCTTCTTATGTCTTTTGAGTTGATTGCTTATTTCTTGCACCATAGCCTCCAGTAGTGAAAACAGAGATGGTAACCATTTCAGATGCCACACAGAGAACTGAAATCTCCACAAAAGAAGTTCCAATTGTTCAAACAGAAACTAAAACCATCACATACGAATCCCCACAGGTACAATGGCAGGGTGATTTGTTACACTGTTTGAAAGCTAAGTTTTGTTCCAATAATTTGTAGCTCAAAATAAATCATATCAAAGATATATGCTTTTTAAAAAAACTGTACTTTCTCTTGCAACTAAGATTATAGTTTGGCTATGAGAATTTAAGTGAAATGTGTGTAAGTAAAACAATATTTCTACTAAAGTTCTGGAAGTATTTTTTGTTGATAGAAGAATTTAATTGTCTGCAAAGATATAACTCATTTAGTTTTGAAAACTCGGTTAAAATAGGAACATTGCTTCTGAAAAAAGCACTTAACTTTGGTCATAAAGTTTACACTATAATAAACCTTAACAGTCTGCACAGACTGTAAACTTGGTGGCTTTGGTTTAAAGTTCGGTGTTAAATTTTCAAATTGAACTAAAGAATAAATGTATGTTTAGTAATTAAAAAAAAAAAATCTCCTCTGAAAACAAAGCTTTTAAATGTTAAAAATGTCATTTCTCTTTTTACAGTTTGATGGCAGTGCTGGTGGCAGTGCTGGTGTGCTGCTGAGTGCACAGACAATTACATCAGAGTCAATTTCTACTACCACAACTACACACATCACAAAGGTAAAACAGATAATCTCTCTTAACTTAAACAAAAATCTAAGTCTTACATGAAGCCTCTTGTAGCTTAATATATGCTAAATTATCAAAGAAAACTGACTTGTGATTAGATTCATTCCGGGCACATGTGGGAGTTGTTTTTTTTTTTCTATACTCTGATTTTGAACAGAGAAATAAACAGGAATATCTGGGAACAGGATGGAGAAAAATTAGAAAATGTGGTATTTAATTTTTTAATTATTTTTTGTCATTTCATGTTGATCTTATTTCTGCGTTTGGTCAGGAAAACACCAGTAATTTCATCTCTTCTGTCACGTGGTGCTGATTTATAGAATCTTTGTTAACATCATCTATTTGTCTCAGGTCTGCAGAAACCTTGCTCATGGTATGTCTTGTAACAGTGTGCTGAAACAATGTTTCCTTAGCCTCTGTGTTCACTCTCCTTTGTGTACTGCTAGGTTTAGAGCATACCACTACTATACCATACCACTACTCTTCTTTGCAGGCAGATTTTGGTGTTGAATTATGTGTTCTGAATTCCATGCTTGGAAAGGAAAACTAAATGTTAACGGGACGTGACATCTATTTTGGTTTCCTATACTGTTTCGTGTAAGGCAGAACTACAGAAATGTCATTTTTATTCATCATTTATGTAAATACCTAATTTTGGGTGTTCCCTCAGCAATGTGAAATAATAATGAAAACTTGTTGTCACAAGAGTGCAGAGACTAGATATCATGTTTGAATTTAATGTGGGATTATTTAGAGAATGAGAAGCTCATTGCTGGATAGATCGAAATCAAAGAAATGACTCCTGGAATTCTTCTTATTGCCAGATTTGTATAATGGAAAAGCCCAGAATTCTTATTTGTCTGCATATTGAGTTCTATTCAGACCTGGACTCCAATAACAAAAGGAATTCTCCATTCCTTGTTTTCTAATCAAGCTTTTTTTTTTTTTTAGCAGTGGCTAGCATGTAACGAACTGCATAACTGAAAAAGGAAAGGATGACTTAATACCACAAATACTTACAGTTAACTGCAGCCTAGTGACACAAAAATGTACAATAAAGTAATGCTTGTGGCTGTAAGCACTAATTACACTAAGGTGCTTTCTTGTTTTTTGTGCCATCTGTAGATGGTTAAAGGTGGTGTATCGGAAACAAGAATTGAGAAACGAATTGTCATTACTGGAGATGCAGATATTGACCATGATGAGGTGAGTATCTAAACTATTAATGCTTAGTATGTTACTAATAGTTCGGTGAGATCTAGGAAGTTTTTCAAAAAAACAAAATAGGAGAAAGGTGGAGAAGCTGAATGTGAAGATATAAAAAGATCCCAAGATTGTTGATTGCAGCAAACTTTTTAGGCTCTGGTGTTAACTGAATAGAGTATGACTGAGAGATAGAATGCAAAGTCACAAATGCTTTTAGGTTACGTGAGTAGATTTCATACTATTTTTAAAGGGATTGCTTATTTTAGAAAAGACTCAATTTGTTTTGTGCTGCTTTTGCCATTTGGGAGGAAACACATGACTAAAATCTATTTTGATACATTAATCTAGATAGATAGAAGTCTCTGCTGCTTTATGTCAGCAACATCTGAATGTGGAATTAATCTCAACTAAAAGCTTTGAAATATATTAAAGCATAAAATCTTGAATGTGTAACATAGTTTTTTGCTTCTATTTACAGAATTCTGTACAACAAAAAGTATTGTTGATTTGCAGAAGTCTTATACAGGTGCTTTTGATCTTTATTAGCACCAAAGAAGTTTTGTTTTACAATGTCTTGGAAATAAAGGTTAAAATTACTTCTATCTGCCCAATTGAGAAGATTGAATTTAAGAAGTACACCAAAATATTTGAGAAAGAACTGTGATTATCTATTCTTTGTAGAGACAATTGCCCTTTTTTATCTCAGAAACTGCAATGAAAAAGTCAATCAACAGTCACTGCATAATACAAATGAAAAAACTTACCTTATACATAAAGTTGCAGTGAATCCAATTCTAACTTTGAGAGCTGCACAGTTCAGCAGAATTTAATTTAACTTCTTAGTATAATATAGTGAGAGCTTTCAGGGAATTTAATTTCAGATTTTGATCTGCTGCTAGAAAGTGGCTCTTGACAAGTTCAAGCTCTTCTTGAAATTTGTAATTAAATGATAGGGTTGTTCAGCATTAGGCGTTGCTCTTGTCTGCCTTGCACAGTGCTCTTGGGACATCTCAAAAGGTCACACAATACCTTTAGTATAGTAGGCAGTGCTTTTAGTAAAACCATTCTCCAAGCCGTCCTTTGTTTTGAGATAAGTAGGTAATGGAGCAAAATAAATGAAATTATTGTTTATATATATTTAATCACTGGAATGTAAAGCAGTGAGCAGCTCTTAACAAATTTAAGAAAACTCTATTGCAATTTCCTCAGTAGATACAGAGCTCTTGAATTGCAAAGTGTTTTGTCTTCTTGCCCCCTACATTACTAAAACAGTACTCAGCAGTCCCTTCCTTTTAAATCATTGTTTGTAGTGCAGAGGTTACATTTGGTATGTTGTAAAATACAAACCAGTTACAAATCTGTAAGATTATCACATGAGCAAACGTTGGTAATTACACACACTGCATGCACTGTTCCTTTATTAGAACCAACCTCATTTTGTCTTTATTTGCCCGATGTGTTGCAAAAGTTCTAAAACTTCTTATATAAAGTGCTCTGTCTTCTGGATTAAGATGGAAACATGACAGTGAGAACCTTATGGTTATGTGCTACTTGCTGTAAATTTCGAAGCCTTACATTAGTGTGTTTTGTAGTTGTTGTTTTCTGTTTCTTTTGGTTTTTGTTTTCCCCCGAGCCCTCTCATGTTTAGGAATTTTAGATTTCTGAACAATTATTCCTGAAATTGCTGATGCTGCACTCCTAGTCTCAGGTCCCTTACGAGCTGCGTTCTGTTTTCTTATCCCTGAAGGCCTTCTTTAATGCTTCTTCCTGCTGTTAAGTTATGTATTTTGAATGTGTTGGCAGGCTCTGGCACAGGCAATCAAAGAAGCCAAAGAACAGCACCCTGACATGTCTGTCACAAGAGTAGTGGTGCACAAAGAAACTGAACTTGCTGAGGAAGATGAAGACTAAAATGTAAAATGCCCTCAGGCAAACATTTCAGGTAAACTTATAATAAACTCATGCTGCAATTTCTATCTGTATTTTCTACTACATTGTCTAATAAGTTGGCTTGAAAAATGATACAGTATTTGCTATATATTATGTAATGCTGAATTTAAATGGCGTTATTAGAAGACAGATAATGTAAGTTTTATTTTAAAGTCTAATCTGACATTAAATTCACGTCTCCCTGAAAGTGTCTCCCTGGTTTCTCATAATGCTCTTGTAGTATTTCCTATGATGTTTGCTCAAGATGTGGTTTTCACATTAAGGGGAGTTTGGTCTACGTCTGCAAAGCACAAAGATGAAGTGATGACTTTCTGTTTATGCTACAATGGAAATGTACAATTGCGGTCCTTGCCTTACCTTTTGCTTAGTTAGTAGGAAGACTGCAGTTATCAGTAGAGAGGGGGCCTGCTCTGACACTTCAATTCAGTCAGTTTATTCTCCATCTTAACCACACTGAAATATTTGCCTTCTGTTATTTTCTCAGATGAGAAGGGTAGGTACTTTGATAGTTGAAGTTTTTAAGCCCTTTTGTCAGTTGAAAGAGAAATTTGAAGAGGTGCCGATTCAGTAGGCTCTCATTTCAGCTGGAAAACTATTGTACATTCTTTAGTTTTAGAACTGTTTAATTTGGGTTTGGACGTTTTTCTTCTGTTGGAAAAGGTCAAAACATATCCCATTCTTACTGAAATTCAAATATCTATTATATTTGCAGTCATTCAGTGATTTAAAACTAAAAGCTAAGTTTAAACAAGGAAACTGATTTTTTTTTTTATTATAGATGACCTACTTACCACCAATTTCCTAGTGTAGGCTTTTCATGTAAAGATACGTTAGAGTCTAATGTATCTTCAGGTAAATTAAAACATGTTAGTTAAGACAGCTGGTTTTCACTGTATCTAAGTATGAATGAAGTTAATAAATAGAAGGTGGTTTTACTGATGAATGTGATGCTCGTCATATACCAGTAACTGTGCTTTCGTTGGATGTTCTATAAGTTTTATTATACTGAAATATTTATTTTAGAAAAATAAATGTAATATGAGGTACTATCTTAATTTTTTTCTACTTGAGCAACGCAATCGAGATCTGGATAGACCAGTCACCCTGAGCTATTTCCAAAAATCTGTGACAGTCAAATAAACCATAACGGCCAGGGTTAAAACTGTAGTAGTTTTCCTTACAGAAAATTTGCTTTGGTGATCAGCAGAATTCACAGTGCAAATTTTATAGATGCAAAAAGAATCAATATTTTGGTCACTAATAATAAAGTGGTAGAAATAAAATTAAAAAAAATGCTGCACTTGAAGTATTTAATAGAAAGATCACAATAAGCAACTGAATAAAATCTGCTGTTTCTCTGGTAAAAAACAAATGCTGTGAAGCTCAGTATCAGCTTTGCATTATAAAGCTGCAAGTTTCTTCAGCTTTGTCACACTGATGGATATCATGAGAACTGAAGCTTCAGTGTTTTTGAACTTGATAGGTTGCGTTTGCTGTAGAGTCAACTTCAAAGAGAAGATACTGTTTGGAAGGAGTAAATCACAATGAGAGAGATTTAAAAATAAGTAAAAATTAAACAGCACTATCTTAATCCTTTATTTTATGGGAGAACTCTGAATTTTTACTGATTAATCTCCATGTTTAGCTAGCAGAGCAGAAGGGTTGCTGGCTATTCTCAGGTGGGGAAACTCTGTTAATATAGAGAGAGACGGTAGAAGAAATTTGTCTTGTATTTTTCCAGTAGTTAAAGTTGTTTTTGATTCTTATTACCTTGGTAATTTATACAGTGGTTGTGTCCTCCAGAAGAGAGCTTCAGGTTTTGCACATGCATGCAGACCCTTAGTACTGAGTGAGAGAGTTCCAGTTGCCTTTTCTGGCCTCCTACAGATTGTACTCAAATGTTGTTGTTTGTTTTTTTTTTTGTGATGAGAGTTCATAAATTCCTTTTGACTGGTTCTTCTTTAAGCTCTCTGAGAATCTGGAGGCTTTATGTCAGAGTGGAACAAATTTGAGCTGCTCTCTTTAAAATATCTTCAGTATTGGTTAGGTTAATGTGTATTTGAAAAAGGAGTGAATAATTTTTGCTTGTAACTTATGCAAACCAAAACCAGTATAGGTCAGATTTGGAAGTGCTAGGTGAATGTTCTATCACTCAATGTTATTGTTAAAAGCTGGAAATAACAAAACGTCTTTTGGTGGATATAGAAGAGTTCTGACGTTTCTTGGAATATCTTCAGAAGTTGCAATGCTCTCAGACAATTCCAGCTGTCAGTAATTTAAAACACACACTGCTGTTCCTCCAAACATTTGTCTTCTTTTGCTATATATAATAAAGATGATTCAGGCCGGAAAGGAATGGACTTGAAGGTCCACAAATCTAGTGCATGTGTGGTGGGATTTGGGGTTTCTGGGGGACAGTGGAGAGGAGTATGTTGTTTTGTTGAGATATTTTGTATGCTTGGGAACAAGTGACTAAATGAGGAACTGTACAGGAAAGTTAGTTTTACTAACTTTTCTTGGTGTTCCACCTTGTAGCTTTATTGCTTAGTGACACTGGAAACAACGAGCATGTATGCTCCAGCTTTCTTTTGAAAACACAAGAGACATGGAGCTGCGCTGTGAGATAGTAATATTATAGAAGTGTTACACATGACCCAGAAAGGCTTGGAAAAATCCACACTGTTTTTGAGAGCTGTTAGTTTGCAGTAAGGAAAATGTCTGTGTTCTAGGTAACTTCTCTACCCCCTTGGTACTGGGCGGCGCTGAACCCACACACTAAAACCATCCTTCTCCTATTTTCAGTATTTGCATAGAAGGATCTAAGGTAGAAAAATGCACTGGGAGCAGAACAAATCATTTTGATTTGTAAGAATTTATTACAGTATGTACTGTAATCACAATACTTCTATTCAGCATGAATTTAAGGATTTTGGGAGTGGGGACTGCTTCTTTTGCTATATCTATGCAGAATGTGCCAAATTTTTCACACTATCTCAATCCACAAAATTGCCTCAAAATCAGTGTTCAACGTAATCTGTCCCATGTAAGTAATCGTAGCATCTCTTTTGAAGGGACTATGCCATGGAAGGAAGAAATAGTCTTCACAGATATGCGCTGTATTTCTGCATTAGTGACCAACTGCAAACTTGACTGTGTTCTTTAATCAAATATTCTACTACTTGGTAAAAGTTTTTTTGACGACAAAAACTCAAAGAATTGTTTATATGTCCGGAGGGTGTGCTTTACTTCTTTGAGAAGTAAATGGTGTTTGTACAATGTACATTGTACAATGGTGTTTGAAATATTACCAGAGTGTCAGGTGTTTTTCTCCAAGTTTGCCAATTGCTTTACAGTTTTTTGATCTGGGAGTTAAAAAGGACTAGTTTGAAGACATTTCACCACATTTCTCTTGTATTTCAGACATTGTGATTGAATGACGCCTTTCAGTTAAACGCTCAGGAAAACTTCAGTTGCCCAGACACAAGCACATGAAATGCTCTAAATGTGTCTGCAGCACAGACTGTCAGAAGACTTATGCCCTTCTTCACCAAGTGAAGGCCAGATGTGAAAATACATTTAGACAACTGTATTTAGGCAATTGGATCACACCATGAATCCACGTTATGTTTTTTAGTTTTGCCCTGGCTACAAATATTGAAGTGTTTGGTTTTTTTTATGTAGGCTTGTTTTCTCTAATGAAAGTGAAACGTTGTACTCTTAAGGATTATTAATTGAGCAAATATCTTCATTTCTCTTTATATTAGATTTTGGATTTTGAATTAAAATTTTAAATAAGGGTACAATAGATAATTGTTGAAATACCATGAAAATTCTGAGGAGGAAGAAATACACTAATGCAAAAAAACATTGACAGAAACTGAATTGCTGCCCACCTTAGGGCCAAAGGAGACTTCAGTTTATATAACACTCTTTTTTGTGAAATAACCCTCCCCCAAAATAACTTTTATGTGAAAAATGACTTATTGAATCTGATGCTGTGTAAGTGTCCCATCGTCTGCTATGCATGCTTATGTAATCTTCCCCCTCCTTTTTCTTCCAGAAACAAAAATTATGCTGGCCATGATCATAACCTTGAAGAACTGTGATCATCACTGCTCAACTGAATACACCAAGCCTACCAACGATGACCAGAATTTTAAGAATGAGTTGCCAATACCAAACTCAATTTTAACATCTTTGGCCTATAATCCCTTACAAGCTTTCTTGTTTATTTTTTTATAACCACTTCTTAACAAGCTTAGTTTTTTTAATGACACTGTAGAGGGTATTTCACAAATCTTTGCATTTCTGAAGCTGATTCTTGAATATGAAAGTGAACAAAAAAAGGGTCTGGAAAGTACTGTTCACTGGAGCAGGTGGTAACTGTGCAGAAAAGGGGTTCTTAACTAATTTAGATGTAGGTTTTTCCCAAATATTTCAATGAAATCTCTTTCTGAAGTAATTTACAGATTTTTTTTTCTTTTTTTTTTGTCAGATTATTCAGGTAAATATATGGTCTCACATAACAAAGCTTTTTTAATAAAAATACAACCTTTACTAAAATTTGAAAATATATATTTCTTTGGATAAATTTTGTACTGGTATCTCCTGTAACTCCTTCTGTTCCAAGATTCTCCTCTCTGTGGGGCAGAGATGGTGTGGCAGTCTGTAGAGGAGAGAGAGTTACAAAGAAATTTCTTTTGACTCAGCACTGTGTTCTCTTTGCACTTTGGTGCCAATGCTCAACTTCTTGTAGACGTTTTGCTGTCTGCAACATTCCAGATAGGGAGAGAAAGAATATCAAAATATCTTCTTCCAACAAGAGATCTAGGCAGCTTAAAACCTTAGTGCTTTTTTTTTTCTTACTGTGTCCAAACTTCAACACTTCCATTATTTGAATACACGTGTAGAATGCTTGCTTTCTATTAAATCTCACTGCCTACATGTTAGAACTGACATTTGTTATTGAGAAGGTATATGTTTCAGATACTTTGTCTAATGGTTAACACAGGTTTTTAAGGACACTGAGTAAAAGTATGAGGTGGATTCCATTCATAAAGTAGTAAGACAGAACCATCATTTGAGACTGCCATTGAAAAAACCTGTTAATTATTTTGGATTTCATTTTTATTTAGTTCTTGGGGAGGGGGGGAGGAGGTTGGTTGTTTTTTGGAGTTGTTTTTGTTTTGTCTTTGTTTTGCTGTTTGACTCTGTGTATAGTTAAAATGCCAAATTAGATTTATAGCAGCTTGAAGTTGTATTAAGTGATATTTTTGCTTTCTGTAATTCTGTTATAAAATAAAGTTGTTTATTCTCTGTATGACTACTGGCACTCCAGCATACATTTGGTAAATATTTAACATGAACACATCAATTTTGAAATAACATTCTAGAAGCCAAAGAACCTTAAGTATTAGGGGCTAGTACAGATAGTTTCCAGGCTTAATTGAAGATTAGCACATTTATTGTCTTCTATTAATCTATCAGTGTGTTTCTTTAAGTGTTTTCCAATTAGCATCTCAGTCTGTAATTTGTAGAAGTCTTAAAAACTCCAGAAAAATAAGAGATTTGGACAGCACTACTCAAGAGGAAATGCCCAGTCTATGAGCTGTTCTACTGAGTTAACTGAGTAAGGATGTACTGTGATTTTAAAATAACAAAACAAATCATAAAACCTCTCAGTAATATTTTTTTCTCACTTTCCGAGTGATGTATTTTTTGGTGCTGTTCTCAGTTTAGACTGCTGCCATCTGTTGTCAGCATGCTTGGTTAACTGAAATTCCTTCTCATTTTGGCTCTGGTAATTTAGATAATATAATACAACAGTAGCCAAGATGTTGATTTTTTTATATACACAGGTGTTCTTAATTGCATCCCACATGAGCCTGAAAAATAGCAGATAACAGTCCTGCGTTTTTCTTCAAAAAACAAACTGTCTTTAGAAAAGAGAACTTCATCCAATCTAATAAGTTAAGAGCACTACCACAACACTGTGCAAATATAGTATTTTTGAACGCTATAACTTCCACCACAAGCTGTATTTTTTCAGATACCAATTGGAACCTTATGCTAGGGAATAGGGAATTGCTACTGCCTTCAGGTCAGCGTAGCTTGTGCACAGCTATCACTTCCATTGAGCAAACATGTATTAATTAAACAGCCTTTGTCATGCAGAAAAGCTTAGGCTCCAAGAGTGCATTGTAAAAATAGTCAGGTTTTAGATATTTTGGTTGTGTGCGTTTATTCAAATGTGCTGGAAAACTCTGCAATTCTGATTAGTTTTCATTGTTACTTTTTTATATATCCATAGCAAAAACTTCAAAATGCAGCAAAAGAAATTGTTCTCAGGACATTTCACAATCTGGCTTGTCAATACCTAGGCGATTTCAAATACAGTTTTAGGACCATTTCCTGAAAATCTGGAGAAGATATTTGATTAAATAATTCGGCTTAAATACTGTTAGAGAGAAGTGATTCATGTGGATTCTATACCAAAACACTTAATAAATCTTTTAAATTATGGTCGCCCAAGGGTTCAGAATAAGTGGTATTATTGTACTCCTGGAATTTGCTAGATTAAGATAAAAGATTAAGGCTTCATAAAGGACAAGCAAGCAACTCTGGCAACAAGGTAGTTTAATTATACAGATATTGCTCAATGCAGTAAGCAATTGCAATACAGTGTTTTCTAAAATATCCTGAGTTGGAAGAGACCCAGAGGGATCATGGAGTCCAACCCCTGCTCTGCACAGGACCATCTAAAATCCAAATCCTATGTCTGAAAGCACTGAATTCCAGCACTTGGGGTTGTGCCCACCGCCTGGTGAAGAACCTTTTCCTAACACCCAGCTGCTTCTCCCCTGACACAGCTCGATGCCATTCCTTCAGACCCTGTCGCTGCCACTAGGGCGCTCAGCACTGCCCCTGTACTCCTCTCATGAGGAGCTGCAGGCTGCTGTGAGATCTTCCCTCAGCCTCCTCTGCTCTGAACTGAACAAACCAAGAGATCTCAACTGTTCCTTGTGTCATGTACTCCAGACTCCTTAGCATGTTGGGTGCCTTCTTTTGAATACTCTGTACATGTCCTTTTCCTTGCTCACACAGCTTGAGGTGGGACAAATCCCTCTCCCTACCAGGCTGGCAGTGCTGGGCCTGGTGCACTCCAGAGTACGGCTGGCACTTTGGCTGCACACTGCTGTTTCAGATACAACTTCTTATCAACCAGAGTCACTGGACTGGCTCCTCCAGGACTGTTCTCCAGCCTCTCACCCCCAGTCTGTACCTACATTCAGAGCTGCTGTATTCCAGGTGCAGAATCTGGCACTTACCCCCATTAAACTTCGAGTGGTTGGTGATTGCCCAACCCTCTCATTCATCAAGGCCTCTCTGCCCTAGAGGGAGTCAGCTATTTACAATTTGTTGTTTTTCACAAGCTTACTTAGTATACATTGAAGTTGTATATTCAAGTTGTTAATGAAAATGTTGAAGAGAATTGGCCCTAGAATTGAACTCTGTACAACTCCACTGGTGGCTGGCCACCAACCTGATGTAATCCCATTTACTAGAACTCTTTGAGTTCACTATTTATGTTATGTTTTTTTCTAAGCGTATTCTGGATGTTTTCTCCAAAAGAATGCTGTGAGAAACAGTGTTGAAAGCCTTGCTGAAATTCTAAAATTTCAGCAGACTTCCCTTTGTGGACTAGATGGGTAACATTTTGATAAAAGGAGAGTAGGTTAGTTTAACAGGAATTTCCCCTCATAAACTCATGTTGGCTGCAAGTAATGACTGCATTGTCTTTCAGGTATTTTTCAGTCACTTCCAGAATAATTAGCAGCATATTCTTCTCCTTAACAACTTAGGCTGAACAGCAACTTTTAGTTTAGACGCGGAACAAATCAGCTAGATGGAATAAAATATAATAGAGATCAGAGTGATGATTAACTGTACCCTTGACCAGGATGCATCAGGAGCTTCCTAGCTTTTAGGCATGTTTACAATGAAAACCTGGAACAGCTGATATCCCACACTGCTGCCTGACTCCACTCCAGTTTTGAAACTGTTTTGATTTTTCAGGCTGCTTTGTTGTATGTTTGCTTGATTTCACTTCTTTTTTTTTTTTTTCCTTCTTATATTATACTTGCGATACCATACACTTGAATTAGTAATATTTGTATAATTTAGGTATTAGCAGCGTTGCTAATGCTTGTATAGCATTAACTTATTCTGTTTAGCATGAAGGAAATCCAGTGATATTTTTGGAGGTGTGTGTATATGAATGGCTAAATGACTGACTCTCCCAGAACCCTGCTACTGATTGTTGCCTACGGATGTGTACAAAAAGAGAATAAGTACTGTACTAGAAAGTAGTACTTTTCCTAAATACTGTTACAGCTTTCATCAGTTTTCAAAGACCTATTGTATTTCTTTATCTGCCTCAGTATATTTTTTGTTCTGTACATTTGCTATTTGCTTCTTAAAGATTTTACTCTGTAGTGATATTTAAACGTATATTTTTCTATTTTCAGAGAAACAAAGTAAGATATAATGGCATTCATGCCAATAGCATGAATACAGGAGGTTCTTGACACTATTCAATAATGGAACTGAGAACAGCAAGACCTGAAGATTTTCATGGCTTGTTACTGAGTCTTGAATGACAGATCCTCCTACATGTTAATCAGCAATTGTGGTGAAGGGATCCTAGTGGTTTTCTGTTATAATCCTCATTTAATATATATATAATATTTTCCTTAATAGGTCTAATAGCACTTTACTGAAAAGTACTCTTTAAGAGTGATATATATATATATATCATTTATCATACATATTATTTTATATCTCTGACATTTTGTGAATCAGCAAAATTTTGAGTTGTAATAAGGCTGCTTACTGAACTTTGATTCTGTATCTTTACATGTGGTCTAGGCAAGTCATTCTTTGGGTGGAGTGGGAATGGGTGTTTGAAATTAAAGGGTTGCAGTGGAGAGGGTACAATTGCTTTAATCTCTGATTTTGGCATTAATCACTGCTTTTGTACCAGCAGCATGTTTCTTTAATGTAAAATAACAATTCTGTGTAGAATTGGCATATACATAATGCTGAAGAACCTGATCTCTTTGAATATCCAGGGAACCATTTGCATTTTTTATTATCTATTATCTCTAAGCATGACTTTTGTCTGTCAAAAATAAATATATCTTATCAGGCGTTCTCAGTGAGACCTATGGTGAGGAGCACTGAGTAAGAACACCAAGCAGGATATGGTTCTTATTCTGTATCCACTCAGATGACAACTATTCCTGACCCACACCATTTACAACCTGAGATCTCAAAAGTGACCAAGTGTGTGGACTCTGCCTATGAACCTACCAGATAGACCATCTTTCCTACCAGATATGAACCTGCTTCTACCAGATAGATCATCTTTCCCTGCCAAGAGAAATATGGAATAAGGATTACAACAGGGAAGAATACCCAAAAACTGGAAGGCGTCCTCTCTCCTTTGAAGCTGTTACCCTCTCTCTGTTTTTGTAAGCAGATGATTAGAATCAAACTTTCAGATCTCTCACCTTAGACAGCACACCTGACTCTAACTTTGGGATCTCTACTGATTGAGGTGTGTTTCATCTTCACCTTACAGGAACACTGTCCTGAAGACACCGTTATCTGCGTTACCAGGAGAACAGAGTTTAATGTAGGTTCATTTAGATGACTGTGTTCTTTATATGGTCAGTAATAGCTGTATGAGTTAATATCATCTTCTTAAGAATATTTATGTATTAGTCTCTGAAGCTTTGTGTCACATAAGTATTCATAAATACAGTACTGACACTGTGGTAACTATCTTAATTTATCTTTAGTGAACATTAAATACCTAATGACATAAATTCAAGTTTAGAAGCATTAAAGTTAAATGAAGCATCACGTTTTTTTTCGTCATCTGTTTTTATGGGGTGAGGATGCATCTTTTGAGGAAAGTAGCGTTATTTTGGCTACTTAGTGCCAGCACTTAACAACAGAGTTTGTTAAAGGTAGGAGCAGGCCAATATTGAGAGCTCTTTGGACTCTCTGCTTTTATAATCTGGATGTGCTAGGCTTTAAGAAAAGCATACTCTACTTTGGACTATGTTGTGCTATATCTGCCAGGTAACGTAAAAGCCCAGGTCAGAGAGGTAAGGAAGAATGTGTTCCTTAATGTCCTGATACATCAGTTTGATGTTGTGAAAGTAAGTCTTTTTTTCGTTATTTCTTTTTGTAAGAATTTATTCAAGATTTGTCCTCAGGATAAAGTAATAAGTGTTTGGAAAAATACTGATTACAACATTCTATTTTTTCAAACTTTGGCAAGATCAGCGATGTCCTTCTGTTTCCCATCATTGTCATATTTTATTTCCATACTTTAGAAAACCTACGATCTTTCACAAAGTATACAAGCGGATAAAAATAAGTCAGTTCCCCCCCATCACCCTTTTTCAATTTCTAGATGTCATTGCTTGGTATGAACTTATTATTTTTGCATTTTCAATTTAATATGACGGCCTTCACTGTATATGTAACTCAGCTCTCCTAGGAGCTTGTTAAATATTGAATGTACTTCTCTGTAGGCTGGTGAAGGACTGGTGAGCAAGGTGCTTTCTATCCCACTGAATCCTGTGCCACATAAACAAACTGATGCGGTACATTGCAGGAGGTCTCTGGTGTCTGATGGGCTGATGAAAGTACTGATCGCTTGGCCACAGGTGAGAGAGCAAAACTGCTATGAGGTCTTTTTGAATGGCAACACCTGTTTGATTAGTACCGCATGCCACTAGCTTCTCTCCATTTTGTTCTCCTCTATGATATTTATCTTCAGCTGGTTGTATTTAAGCCTGAAGAGCTGAGCACTGGTTGTAACCTTGTATCCTGAGGCTTGAGACTCCCTTTAATGTCATTCAGTTCCCCTATTTGTTTGCGTTTTTCCGAGATCTCCATGTTTTCTGCTGATTGATGTCGTAGTTTGGGAGGGTGTTTCTGGGGTCATACAGCATGGCCAGCTCCTTATCAACTGGAAAATCAAGCAACAAATAATTACTTAAGATGAATTTTTAAAAGAAAAGGAGCTAGCATTAATTGTAAAAGCTTATTAAATTGAAGATGCATGATTGGCACACTAGTATTGATTTGCATATTTCTTTAAGTCTTCTGAATGCAAAACAGTGACCATGACTATTTCCAATGAATCTCTGACATAAACTCTGTTGACACTGAAAGAAATACACTATTCTCGTTTGCCTCTACCACCTTTCAGTCAGAATAAAATCTTTCAACAACTACAATAAAGCATATAAATCAGTGTATCCTGAGTTAGAAGAGACATACAATGATCTCTGAGTCCAACTCCTGGCTCAACACAGGACCACCCAAAATTCAAGCCCTATGTCTGAGACTATTGTCCAAATGCTGCTTGAACTCCAGCAGCTTGGGGCTGTGCTCGCTGCCCTGGGCACCTGTTCCCTGCCCACTGCCTTCTGGTGAAGAATCTGTTCCTAAAACCATCCTGACCGTCCCCTGACACAACTCCATGCCATTCTCTTGGGTCGTTTTGCTGTCACCAAAGAGCAGAGTTCAGCGCTGCCCCTCCGCTCCCCTCATGAGGAATTGTACGCCTCAGCCTCCTCTTACTTGGGCTGAACAAACCAAGGGACCTCAGCAGCTCTTCACGTCTTGCCCTCTCAACCCTTCAAAATGTTGGCTGCTCTCCTTTGAAGCTCTGTAATACTCTTATATCCTTTCCATGTTATAGTGCCTAAATCTACACGTGCTGATTGATATGGGACTGCACCAGTGCAAAGCAGAGTGCTAGTTAGTGTCTTCTGAATATTTGCTTTCGGTTTTACTGTGGCTGAGCCTTTTATCATTGTCCTGATCCTTCCTACACTGCTTGTGGTACAAACAGAACAGAAACACAATCTCCACCCCTTGCTTTTTCAGAACAACACAGCATCATGAGAGGCCTGGAGAATATTTAGGGACCAATAGAGAAATTAAGGGGAAAAAAGGTGGAGAGGAAAAAAGTCTAGTTAGTATAAAAATCTTTTTCACAAGACAGTATCTTTCCTTGTCATTGCTAATTGTTCAAAGTATTGCTGTTTACTTTGTTAGTTTTAGTTTTAAGAAGTCTTAAGGGGATGATGCTACCTATTTTGATAGATTTAAATAGATACTCTTGTGCTTCATAGAGAAGAACAAAGTGCTCATTTGACAATGAAACAAAGCAGCCTTGCTTGTAACAATGCAAATTTGGGTCATTTATTTTTAACACAGCCTAAATAAATGTGTACTGAGGCAGAATTTCTGAGGCTTTGCTTAGAGTGGCTGCTGGCACTTAAAGGAGTCTCTTCCCAGGCTTATCTCTTTGTTATGTGGCTTGCCTAATGATCTGGAGCTGACTCAGCTCATCTGCTCAGGGAGAACTGCTCACCATGGTCCATGTTAGCTGTCTGAGACTTGAGCGATGGGCTGGATTCTGGCTGACTCAGAACAAGCAAAGGAAGCGCTTGGTGGTAAAGCTGGGACAGTGATGCCCAAACAGATTAGGCAGACAGGAATTAATCTTCCACTCTACTAAGAATCCCACCCAGGACGCCCGTGAGAATTTCCTTCCCTGGATCACTGGACAGTCAGGGGTATCTTTTCTTTCATGCTTCTCATATAGGAAATGGAGAAGGAAGAAAGATTCCTTTGACAAATTAGTCTGCCAGCCAGATCGTTCACCTCTCTTGAAAACTTGATTGTTATTCTTAGAAAATTTAGGAAATTATGATCCAAAGCTGAAGGCCAGGCTGTTTCAGTGGCTGATCACATAGCATGACCAGGAACGTCTGTGAAGTTTTCCAGGTGGTTTCTTTTGATTTAATGAAAATATTTTCTGAACCTCAGCAAAATACCCAAACCCATGGGATCTGTATCCCATCTCCTCTTCCTATTTTGGTCAGTCTTGGCTGGAGTAGGAAAGCAAGAGAAATGTCACGTAAAAATGAGTGCAGTGTTATCTCAGTATTGTTTCATAACAGCTGATGTCTAACTGTCACCTGGTCTTGATTTGCCTGCAGAGCCCTGTGGTCAGGATTGACTTAGCCAAGTCCACATTTGAGATCATGAGGGAGCTGCTGGATCTGCAATCCACAGCACCTGCCTCATGAGTGTTTGTCCTACACATGTTTTGCATCAAGCTATACCAAGAAGCATGTGAAGTTTACTAAGGGAATCTAGGATATGATCTGGTCTCCTTCAACACTCTCTGAGGATGAAAGGTCAAAATGCAGCTGATTTCAGGAACAAGCTTTGCCCAGTTTCTGGAGGAAAGAGTTTTGAAAGGGTTGAAGGAATGAGTTCTGATATGACAGATATGAGCTGTGTGACAGGCCTCAGCATAGGCAAAACTATGGAGTTTTAAGTGAGGGTTGAATCAAAATTCTAAAAATATTCTTACAGTATTTTTCAAATTGGAAAATGACCCAAAATGCATACAGCTTCAGAAAATTATGATCAGTGTTCTCTTCAGTTTAGTTAATAGTACAAGCCTGAAAGCAGACTGTTAAATGAGAAGTTTTGTCTGCCTACCCACTCTTTCTGCCCAAATTCTGACTCACCTTTTGATAGTTGGATCCTGAAATAGACAATGAGCAGCAGTAGGAGTAAAGTCACAGGCATGAAGATCCAGCCAAAGATAAAGTATCCAGGCAGCTCCCTTGCGAACACCGAAATTATGTAAATTATGCTCATTTCTTCTGCAGCAGCCTAGCTGGATACGTTCCTTCAGATCTCTAAGTGTAGAACCTATTTATCCTGCTTTCTTCCTTTTTTTTTTTTTCTGTATCCACATTCTGCCCTTTGCTCAGACCATTATCACTTTTTGGACTTTGGTTTGTTTGCATAGGCCTGTGATTCCTAATAGGACTGGAGTTCACTTGCAAAGTTACTCAGCTGTGGAGTTTAACAGTGGTTCTTAAAGTAGTGCTGCGCTTCCAAACCTTTACATATGTTGGGTTTGGCTCAGTATGTAAAGCTGCTTCCTTTTGAGCCTTATAGACTATCATCCACTAATACTGTACAGATCATTCTGAATAATAAGCATCTTCTTTACAGACATATTTTTGATTTTACAATAAACCTAAATTACTCAATAAAAGTGAGAACCCTGTCCCACATACGGGTCGAACCACACAGGCACACAGGTCGAACCACATGTAGTCACTGCTCTGAAGAGCTTTCAAATCATTGAGGCAGGCATAACTTCAGAGAATGGATACTGCAGCAGCAGATTTTTTTTCTAAAGTGCAGCTGCTGAACCATGACATTCAGGAATGATTCTTTTTTAGAGAAGTCAAAATTATGTGCTCTTTGGGGTTGAATGTACCAAAGAATTCAGTAACCTTTTAAACATTTCAGTCAGTCACTGGGTTTGGGGTGTTCTGTGTATTCAGTTTTTCCTATCTGGTCAGCAGTTTATTGCAGAAGTGTTATGTAGGTTGCACTGGCAGGTTTAAAAAGAAGAGTAGCTGTAATGCATTCTTTCTCCACACTTTCAGGTTTCTAAAACCGTCGGCTCAGTAGACTTGGCATCTTGACTTCACCTGGGAACACTGCAGGATCTCACTGTTTGACTTGCCTGTATGCTTAACCCTGCAGAGACGTGCTTGTCAGAGATCAGGTAAGTCTAGCAATCTTCCAGTTTTTGGCATATCAAATCTGATGACTACTTAAGGAAGGCATCAGGTAGCATTAAGCATTATGGTATTGTGTCCTCAGCAGGTTGTTATGACGGGGAAAAAAAAATCTGTTCTGTCTCATGTACATTTGAGAGTTGCAAAGGAATTTATTTCTTTAATACCTACCAAATCTAAAATGGAACTGTGAGCTCAATGTGAAAATTACCATTTTAATAGCATCTCTCTGGATGCTCTGCAGTGGGGAATAAGATTTAGGCTGGAGTTTATAGCAGTTAGGCTGAAATTGATAAGAAATGCAGTAGAATCATGAATTTTCAAGGAAAATAAGTATTTCTGTGTTCACTTTGTATTCTTCACGTGCTGTATCAAAAAGGCAAACAACCTCAAATAACATTTATTTTAAGGTTATATTTTATTTGGACTGTCACATATCTAGCATGAGATCCTCCTTTGTGACAATAAGTGATGGAAAATGTCATGTTTCAGACAGATTCCTTATTATATTATTCGTCTGCTGTTTTGATAAATAGAACAAATGGAGAGTGACTTTTTGCTTGTATTTGTTTGGTTTCAGCTTCTAAACGTTATATCTGATTCTACCTCTTCCTACTACATTTGACCTCATTCATAAAGTGCTTTATGATGAAAAGCACAGAGGATATTAATATTATTGTAGGGCCATCTGTTGCCAGATAACTCTCTCCTTACATACATAGCTGTCAGCTGCAATCAGTAAATTCATTAAACTCTTTTTGTGCATGCTGAGTTAATTCAGATTTTTTTAGACTATTCTGAATGCTGGTGTTCCGATCTGCAAAACAATTGCAACATTTTGATCATTCTGGATCCTTTTTTTCTTAAGTGTTCTTAAAAAATAATGGTAATAATTACTGAGCAAGCAGGAATTTATGGTGGAATGAGAAAAATCTGTGACCTAATTCTAAGTGCTATGGCATAGCAGAGTGAGCCACAGGAGTATTTCCGTTTGATACACGTGCATGGCTCACAAAGAAGTAAATGGCAACAAAATACCCGCATACCAGGGCAAAGAAGTTACTTGGATTATTTAATTGGTTTTCCTTGTGTGCTTGAGATATAAGTTCTATCAAACGCACAGCAGGCACAGAAGATGATGGAGCACGTAGTTACCTTGCTTGTTGCAGCCAAGGGCTCTGGAGCTGTATAGATGATGGACTGCAGAGCAGACAGCTTTTGACTGGTTACCTTCTGCCAAGGAAGAATAGGAGAATTATCTGCCCTCCGCATTTGTACAATCTCTTTTTCAAAAGACGACTGTCACCTTGGATCATAACACTTATAGGACTGGTAAAACTTTTCTAATGGCAGCTGACATGAGAAATAAGCTTCTATGTTGAGGGAGCACAAATGTAGGCAGAAACAAGGTTAAATATATTTTTATAGTGAGGGTACTTCATTTTCAGCAGGATCTCTGTCATTAGCAATTCCAAAATCTGAGTCTGGATGACTTTTAAGATACAGATTATGCCCCAAAATTAAGTATATTTGGGCAAGCCAGTTCAGCTCAGGCCATACTAGTTCACTGCAAGCAGTCTGTCAGAATGTCTGCAAAGTCACACCAATAAAATTCACGCTTCTGCTGTCAGCTGCCTCTGCCCAGACAGTGTACTAAAAGCCTCCATCATATAACAACACCCATGCCCCCTGCCTGCAGCAGCACTGCCTCACCAGGGCTTTGCACCTGGGCAAATCCTGTGCTGGAGTGGTAGATACACTGTGTGTCCACTGTGTGCAAATATGTGGGCATATTTGTCTACCACAGTCAAAAGGAAAATGGAAAATCTGCCAGGCATGAATCAGTTAGTTAGGCAGGGGCATATGCTTTCCTGGATGATCTGTGAAGCTTGGGTGTATTTGGGGAAATGGACGAGTTCCTCAGAATCGCTGAATGTCCCCCTACTTCTCTAAAGCCTGACAGAAGCGGCTGATTCATCCCCCTGGTGGTGCTGCTGGCCCTGCAATGCCAGCTGAACTTCTGGAGGCTCACTTTCTGGCTCATGGGAAATTCTGCCATTTTAAAATTTCCCTTTTGACTTGCACCAGAACAAAAATTTAATTTTCCGTGAAATGGAATTTAAGGAACATTAATTTTAAAGCCACCAGAAGTCTTATTTCATCTGTATCATTTTGATTATTTACATAAAATATGACCACAAATGAATTCATGCAAACTTTAAATGACTCTTATTTCCAAAACCTGCCAAGTAACATTAGACATAATGAGCATCACATCTGCCTTGTTGAAGAAATTCAGCTTCTCATCTTTGGAGATGTGTGTGTGCTAATCAATATTTTTTTGTTGAATGTTTTAATTCAGTCACCATTTCCAGAAAAAATCTTTCTGGATAGCTCTGCTCAGGAATAATTAAAAGCAGTGTAACACCACTGAAGCTGAGGAGGAAGGAGTAAGGTTTGCCTGTGAAGACTCAACCACAGTAAAGAAAAGAAAGGAGTTACCGCAGGTGTTTGAGAGCCTTTTGGGCACCAACCAAAATATTCACATGTTCCATGAGGGCAAACAGCCAACCCTCATGGTGGCTGCATTGACAGAGCTGAAATTGTTCTTTCCCAAAGAAAACACTGAAAAGATTACAGCAAAACTTAGACTTGGCATTTTTAAATAAATAAATATCTGTAATAATCATAGAAAGGAGGTGGCAGTTTGCTCAGGGCATGGTGATGATGACAGAGCCTTCCAGAATAAACCAGCAGCTCAGGTACAACCCTTATGTTTCTCCCTGATTCAGGGTTGAAACCCTGTTAAGTCGGTTCGAGTTATTGAACCATCTGACAAGACACAAGTTTCTGAGCTTTGAGAGAAGGTAGTAACTAGGTCATTTCTAAACTGGATCCGTTTTCTGATCAGCTTTGCTCTCGGGGCATCCACAGAGGGTGCAGGCGCAGGCTATGTGTTACACAGGGTGGTGGTGAGCACTCATTGAGGAGGGCCCTTTCCCCTAAGTTTTGGCTGTGCTGCCAAAAGCCAAGCTGCAGCTTTGCTCAGAATGCTGTGAGCAGCCAGTCCATGCGGATGTGACCTTTTGGATCTCTGCAGCAATTCCTAAGTCATTACTCATGTGCTTTATTGATAAAGAAAAGTGATTACTTTTTAATAAGCACATTGTGTGTTACTAATCCAAGAACCTTAGGAAATCTAAGTGTTTTGAAGCTGTGGTTGCTTTTCTCAAACAAATTGTAATCTCATTAACAAAGTAATAGCTATTTTGCATAAACCATGCTAAGTAGCTTATTTATATTCCAGCTCTCTATCTGACTGAACAATCTTTCCATTCTCTGCCTTGCATTTTTTCTTTATACTTACAACTAGTTCAGATTATTTGAATTTTGGCATGACAATAATGGATTTCTGATCTGGATGTTAAACTTTATAAAAAATTAACATCAGTGAAATAAAGATGTACTTGGCCACCTTGTAGTCCTCTTCCAGGATTCTTGATTGCCAAAGTTTTTCTGTTCAACACTGGTTATGTATGTTTCTGCTTTGTACTTAGTCATCTGTACAGATGAATGTTACTCTGCTCATGCAAAATCTTCTGGCAGTAGTAATAGTGCACAGACATTTCCAATTATAAATCAAAATATTTACTGAGTAGTAAGGCTTCCTATCCACTGTTATTTAAACCATCAAGATATGGGCTACATACAAAGTGGACGTTTCTCTTGTCTCTTGTATAACTTTGAAAGAATGAAAAAAAATCTGGTTATTGCTAAGTCCCTTGACCACAGCTTTTCCATGGAAACAGGAGCTGTTAGTGCCACTTTTCTGTCTTCATGGTCAAGATCTGTTGATTGCAATCCTGGCTGTTTTTTTTTTGGTTGGTTAGTTGTGTGCTTTTGTTTGTTTGCATTTTTGTTGTTGTTGCTTGTTTCTTTGTTGTTGTGGTGGTGGTTGTTTATTTAATTTAGGAAGGACCTTTGCCCAATAAATAAGATTTCCCAAGAATGTGATTGTACAGTTGCCATGTTCCCCTCCTTGTCAGCCAACTTCAGGTTCAGGTAAGAGGGACAGGGAGCTCAAGTCAAGTCCCTCTCCAATACTGTGGTTCAGCAGGAGACAGGCAGGAGGTAGGACTCAAGACAATGGCAGCAGAGCAGAACTGGCATCCAGCTGGCAGCAGGACACCAGTTGCCCCACCTCCTTCACATTTGCTTGCTGTGCTATGCCAGTATGTTGTATGTCCCCGTCATACAGCAGGATCACACGGGGTGTGTCTGTTCGTGGAGTTGTGGTGATAAGGAATCTGTTGACAAAGGATTCAGAGAGGATTGGGCTTTGTTAGTCCCACTGCTTAGTGAGGGAAAAATCATTGCTGCCTGCTGCCTTTCCTGTTCAGCCAACAAGGACTGCAGTTCAAAGTCACACTTGTCCTTGACTGGAAATGTGACTCTAAAAAAGACAGTAAATATTTCCTTCAGAGCTTTCACTTGCATTTCTTTTAAAGAAATACGAAATTATCAAGCCTGTTAGATTTTTTACTAACAAATATTTAATCTTTTTTTACTAAGCAATTTTGCTGAAAAATGTCTTCAGTTTTGGGAAATAGGTTAATTTTGTGTGTGAGTCTGTTCTTTCTAGAGTGGCCACAGCTCACCTCTGTCTGGATTGGATCCTGATCACTGCTCTGTGAACAGGTACTCTGTCCTGATTTCAGCTGGGACAGAGCTGATTTTCTTCATAGTGCCTGCTGTGTGTTTTTGATTTAGGAGAATCCATGGAATTGTGGAATCATTTGATTTGAAAGGAACTCTAAAAGGCCATCTAGTCTAAATTCCCTGCAGTGAACAGGGACATCTACAGCTAGATGAAGTTGCACAAAGCCTGGTCCAGCCTGACCTTGAATGTTGATAACACAGTAATGTTTTAGTTGTTGCAGAACAGTGCTGCACAGTGCTAAGGACATTTCAGCTCTTCACACTGCCCTGCCAATGAGGAGACTGGGGATGCACAAGGAGATGGGAGAGGACAGACCCAGGAGAGCTGACCCAGACTGGCTGAAGAGATTTTCCTTCCTATGTGGCATCATGTGAAGTTATAAATTCGGGGGACTTGGCCAGGCAGGGGAGCAGCCATGGCTTGGGGATGAGCTAGTGGGTGGTGAGCAATTGCATTGTGCATCACTGATTTTGTAAGTGTATATATAGACACACATACAGTTATCACTACTATTGTGTTTGGTTGTTGTTTTTTTTTTTCCCCTTTCCTTCTCTGTTTTAGTAGATAGTTTTTATCTCAACCCATGGGTTTTAGCTTTTTTTCCAATTCTTTCCCCCATCTCACTAGTATGGGGGAGTGAGCAAAATGGCTGTGGTGCTGAGCTGCTTCTGGGTTAAACTACATCTCTGTGAACAGCTGCTCTCCACCAGTCCCACTACAGTGGTTATTGCTCTTGTGCCTGGAACAACCCAATCCCACACAGTGTCTCCATTCAGCTGAACCTCATTTCTGGTAGAAAATTGGGAATCTTCAGAAACCATATACTCTCATCCTGAAACTTGGAATAGAAGTGTATTTAAATGGAAGCGTTTGTTCTTTTAAAACAAACACTGCAGAACAAATCCATTCTTTTCCCATCCCATCGCTTCTGTGGCTCACAGCTGCCTCCTGGTGTGCTCTTCTTCTTGATTAGTAACAGAGAAGTCAGTGTAACATAGAGGGTGCAGATAAGTGAGTGCTAAGGAGCTGCTCTACACTGACATCCCAGAAGGGCAGAACAAGGTTGCAGTGGGCACAGCTGTGAGGTGGCAGTGCAAGGCTGTCCCTGCTTTACCCATGGCCCACTCCCCCTGCAGTGCTGGCAGTTTGATGCACTAGCATTTGCTGGCTGACAGGTCATTTTTCACTTGGAAACATACAGAGCAGCATACGTGACAAAATCTACATCTAGAAACTGGCCAGTGTAACATTTATCTTTTGCCCCAATTCGTAACTGATTCTGACACTGCAAGTGAAGGAGTTCATATTAGTGATCAGGGCAATTGTAAAAGCTATATTGATTTTTTCTAACCTGCCTGATTTCAAATGTGTTATGCTATTTTTTATTGCTTCCTGGTTAGCTAATGCTTCTTGGTATTACTTTGCAACATCCCTGCTTGCCTTGTACTGCTGTAGCACAGTGCAATTTCCTCCTCTGCCCTCACAGGTAACAGCAAATGGACAGCAGGCACCAGATGCAAGACGTGCAGTTGTGCACAGCCTGCACACCTGCTCTAGCTGGTCCTATTTGAGCAGGATTTTGGACCAGATGGACTCAGAAGTCTCTGGACAGCCGTGCCTCTCGTGGTGCAGGCTGACCTCAGCCCTGAAACAGTACAGCCCTTTGGGTGGCATTAATGCAAAAGCTGCATTTTGTTCTGTGGCAAAATATGCACAGGTATGCAGCTGTATTAGGTTTGAGGCATGGCTCTGGAAAGTAAATTTAAAATAATACAATAATACAAGATTTTAGCTATTGGCTCTTCTTGTGTGCTATAAAAGAAGCATGAGCTATGATGCCTCAATTGCTTTTAATGGCTTGTAAGGAGGATTTGCAGTACCTCAGTTTCAAGGTCCCTGTTTGACGTACTGGGAATTAAAAGCCTGGGTTTTCATGGGGGTACTAGAGTTAGCACACTCAGGTCCACACCAGAAATGTCTTTGACACTGCTGTCGGTAGACTAAATCTCTTAAAATTATTAGAAGTGTGGCAGGCACTTTATGTAGGTTTTCACTTTTCTCTGCAACCAAATGTCAGAAAAATGCATTGCTGGTTAAGCAGGGTTGAGCTCTGGTTTATCCAAAACTTACTGGGGTACAGCCTATTATAACCTTGTTGAAAATAATTCACTGTGAAACAGATATAAGAATGGGCAAATTAGCAGTGCTGAGAGCCATGTGAGGGGCTGTGTGCAATTACCTTCTCCAACACTGTCTGCAAAGGAAAGAAAATCTTAGGGAGAAATTTGCAGCTTATGCACTACTATTAGTGAAAGTCACGGTTAGTTGAACATGTGTCTGTTGTCTTATACTCAGTTAATGTGACATGAAATAAAAAGGCATATCATTCTCTTTTATACCTTCCTAGTGAATGCTGATTAATTTAACTTTCCACTTTCCATGCTGTACATTTACGCAGTAATGAGCTGTAGCCATCTACTGTCTTGAAATTCTTTTTTTTTTTTCTCCCCAGAATGGAAGAAGGGCAAACAGCCCTTCATGTTTTTCCTGGCAATGTAGCATATATCGAAGACCTTATGCTTAACCCTGACACTGCATCAATAAATGCTAATTTACACAAGAGACTTACTGCAACTGTGTAAGACCAGGGAAAGAGTTTTTAAGCCTGTGCAGATGATTTCAGCTTGTTAATGTGAATGTTTTGCCTTGGGGAAGTTTATGTAATGTTTTAACAGAACATCATCTGCATTTTTTCTTGAATGAGGAATCCACTGTAAGGGATTTTTTACTCATTAGAATGATAAGGTAAATACAATCCATCCTTGCTAGAAAACTGCCCTATAGGCAGCTGTTTCTCTAGCATGAATGTTTAAGTGCAAAAAGCTGAGGCAGTAACATAAAAGAACTGCAAACTGATAAAATAGAAATTAGGGGAAATAATTCAGACAGATGTCTCCTGTTTGAAAAATGTCTGCTGATTTGAAACTATGTAACCTCAATTCTGTCTTTTCAGACTGTGGGCCCAATTAGTATAGAGGATGCTGATAGGCCTTTACAAGTTGATCAATATGATAGCATATCTATCTGTAATGGAGGCAAGACTACACAGTTAATTTGTACATTTACTACAAGACATTGATTGTTTTATCCTTAAGTATGATCAAGGGAAAATGATGTCTCTTTTGCTTTAAACTGTAATCAAAATTTTAATAACTGAGGAACAGGGGAGATTGAAGCCTTTGTTTTCTTACTATGTAAAATCTAAAGCTCAAAAATATTCTTTTTCTCTTTTTTATTTTTCAGTGTTATTTTTAGACTAAGCAATAACGCTATGGTGATATGAGTCTGTGTTTGTGATAAAATGCTGAGACATTTTGGGTTTGACCAGAAATTCAGTCTAGGCTTCAGAACTTATTGTGAAAACATTTTGTTGAATTGTGGTTGGTTTTGGTATGAATATTTTCCATTAAAAAATGTAACAGTCCACTTTTATTTTGGCCCCTCTTCATTTTCTTTATGACCTATCCCTCTTGCCAAGAAGGATGCTCAGACACTGACTTTTATAGGTCAAGAGGAAACCACAAAAACTATCCTTTTGGTATTTGTTTAACCACTTCAGAGATTTACAAGCAAATATGTCCATTCATACAAGTCATGCTGGCTCTTTCAGATCAGATTGCGTTTATCCAGAAATTGGGTAATTCTGTTCTCATATTCCTTTATTTGAATTTCTACAAGTTTGCCTAGTGCAGGTGTACCAGTACTTTACCCTAGAGTTCCCAAGGTCTTTCTTGAAAACCACTGTGGTTTTCACACCTGAGGTACGAAAACAGTTTTAAACAGGCACTTACCCACCACTGCTGATAGCTTACCTATATCATCCCTGATTTCTCCTAGAACTTCTCAGGGAATAATGGGGATGCATTAACAGTTTGTTCAGTAACTTCTACACTCACTTAAAGTTTAAGACATCTGCTGCTCCTTATTCTCCACTAACGAGTTTCAGCACAGGAATCTCCCCAGCTTCTTCCACAGCAATTACTTATAAAAGGAATCCATTTAACTTCTTTGCAGTGGCTTGGCTAGGGCTTTCCCTCCTAGGGATGTCTGATCTTTATTTTAAAAGTGTGTTCAGTACTTTGACTCTTTGGAGGAGTAGAAGTCACAAATGTCAGGAAGACCAAAAAAGGATAGACAGGAAGAGCTGCAGGTGTCTTTAATGTACTGTATACCCTGAGGACTCAAGTGCATTGTGGTATCAAATAAACTTTACATCATATGAATTGAAAGGGGTATGGACTCAGAGCAGCACTCTGGCTACTCTCTGGGTACGTGCCTGTAGGTAAATATTTACCTGTCATGTCAATATTTGGTGGCTCTCTCGTGGATGTATGCCTGAGAGGTAATTAGAATAGTTGTAATTTCCTACACTACTCAGTGACTTTTTTTTTCATGCGTGCACACTTGTGTGGATCCAAAGATTATCATTTATCAGTCTTGAGTATATGGACGGTTTTATTGTTTATAACAACAGAAACAACATGGCATCTGTACATCTACAATCATCTATAATTATTGCTGCAGCATGTGCCTTCTATTGTAGATTGAAAGGCTTGCAAGAAATTAGTGACAAATACACATTTTTAAGTTTTCAGGTCCATTTTCTTTCATCATCACTTCTACAGATCTCTTCCACACAGTTTCTTCCATTCCTGCTGCTTTTATCTTGGTAGCATTATCTGTTTTCGCTTATTGTTAGTTGTATGACAGCAACCTGCTGGTTTTTCAATGGCTTCCAACAGCATTTATTATCTAGCACTGTTCTTCAATCAGTAGATCTCAGAAGCACAGTGCACTCAGGGGTACTCAGATAATGGGTTACAATCAACAACATTACAGAGATGTGTTCTCCTATCTTTCTTTAGTACTTATTTGTGCATTTGGCAGAGAGTCATAATACCAACATTTGAAGTTGTAACAGGGCTTTCTTTCTAAGAGTCTGCAAATGATTTTCAAAGTACTGACAGATTCACTCTTTCAGATGTGCTGTAGAGTTCAGTGTGTCCCAGTTACACTGGGATTAACAATTCCCATTTTGCAGCCATGGAACTAAAATTTCACCTTGTTTTAACAAATCCATAATTAGAAAAGAAGTTCTTTATTTTCTAAGCATTTCCCGAGATTCCCTTGATGGAGAACATACAGGATAGCTGGAGCTGGTAGATTTCCCTGGAGCTGTTTGGAGGCAGAGGTGAATTCTATGATGAGATGAGAGTGACAGACTAACTTACTGTCTTTTCAGTTCAGTTCAGACAGCTAAAAATCAGTGTAGAAAAGGTGGGTTGGCACACTGACCAGAAGGTAACAGGGGTGCACCTTAGTAGGGCTGTCTATCTGAGTACAGAGAAGCACACAAAAAAGATGGAAGACAAGCTGAGAGATGGAGAAGAAGTCTTGTTGACACACCTAAGAGAAACTGTGTTAACTGGCAGCGCTAGCTACTGAGAAGCAGGACAAGCAATGAAATGTTGTCCTATTGTCCAACTATCAAACAGTCCTATTTCTCAAAAATATTTAGGTAGTTCTCTACTCCACAGTAGATTGAGTGTAGCCAGTTCCAACTGGAGAGGCACAGGGTCAAAAGAATGGCACTTACAGTCAACTTAAAGGAGGGCAAGGAAGGAGATGCTGCTTCAGTTAACTCCCTGTTTGCCAGGAGCAAGAAAAATAGTTTAAAGACTATTAGGCAAAAGAAGTGATATTAAAAATAATGCAGGGGATCTACTCCACCTTAGATAATGGCAAATTTCTAGCACAACTCAGGGAAATTAACTTAAATACCAACTGTTCTGTCAGTGGTTAACAAAAAAAGGTTAGCACTGTCAGGCTAAAAAAAAAGAAGACTTAATTGAAGTAATTTGCTGTACCTTCATAAAAGTTCATGGTGTGCTGAGAAGCTTTCAGGCTGCAAGTGTATTTTATATGAAAATTTTGCTTGGAAAAATTAGATGAAAAGGTGATACTGTTACCTTGTTGCTGGTTTGCTGTCTCAGTGAATATGGAATACTCTTGGTTTATAAATTCATTATTTGTGCTGAAGTGAAGAGGAAGGACTCTTTCCCTGACTTCATTGGCCATTTTGTGCAAGTAAGTGAGAAGAATGGACGTTCAGTTTGGTTCATTCTGGTAACTTGTTCCGTTTTGAGGTCTGCTCTTTTTAATTGATGAATCAATATTTTTTTTTCTCTGCCAAAAAACCCCAACATTCTTCATTTAACCCCTCATCCTCTCCCAAGCCCTTGTGGCTTTTCTCTCCAGTACCACTGTAGCTGATGGTCACTTAGGTACAGTCTCTGGACAGCTGTAGTTCTTTAGATATCGTTGTCGGTGTTTTGATTTTTATAAGAAATGGAAGAAACTAATTGGGACAGATTTTCAGGAAGCTGTATAACCAATGCCTTTTCTCTGAATCAGTATCAGAAACATCTGCATTCCTTAAACATGTGAAAATAACTTGTCCATAAAACCCTCTAACTGACATTTCAGTGTTTTCACGAGGGTTTACCTCCCTGGATTACTGTGTGGTGTGCTGAGACTTTCCTATTATCTAACCTAAATTTTCTTTACTGCAAATCCACTGAATTATTATTCTGCTCTTCAATGACATTCAATCACCATCTTTTTTTTGACACACGCTGTACCCTGCTTCTAGGAGGATCTGTTCCGTGATTTTCCCAGGCACAGAGGTGAGGCTCACTGACCTGTAGTTCCTCAGGTCTTCCTTTCTCTCTTTCTTAAAAATAAGAGTAATTTTTCCCTTTTTCCAGTCACAGGGGACTTCACCAGAGAGCCATAATTTTTCAGATACGATGGAGAGCGCCTCGGCAACCATATCAGCCATCTCTGTCAGAACCCTAGGGTGAATATCATCTGGCCCCATGGACTTACATGCATTCAATTGCATGAGGAGGTCTTGGACTTGTTCCACTGTTACAGTGGGACAGAATCCGCTCCCCTCACCTGGAATTTCAGATGAGACAGACTTTCTTGTAGGCTTATTGTCAGGCTGTATTCTGAGTACAAAATGGGACTGTACCAAAGGCTTACTAACATCAGGACAGTCTGCATCAGTAATTTCTTCCTTTACATGAGATTAGTCATCTTTTCAAAGAAAGAAAGATTTTTCATAGCTTGTTCCTGATAAATATAATACTGTTAAGGAAGGACCTGCTTTCAGAGTTACAAACTGTATGGTTACATCAGTCAAGATAGTGGAGCATCACCTCTCTTGGTAAGAAACTAGTAACTTTTATCCATTCTCATCTTCAGACAGATGTAGTTTTGACATCCTCTTTCAGCTTATTTTCTTGTCAGACATATACTAGCTGAACCACAGCCATTTTCTGAAGATGTTAGCCAGCCCATTGATGTTAATGGAGGATTTTCTATTACCTTAATTGGACATAACTCTTACTGAAGCCAAGAGCAGCTGAAAGCGTGTTTCCATGCCAGCAAAAAAGAATAATTACTTACAGAAAATATTACATCCTGACAGTCCCAACTGTCAGTCTGCCAACCCTGTGGCTTGTCTGTTTTAGTGTATATTGATTCAGTTAACAGTTACTTTATCTTGCAGTAACTGAAGTAGATATAAAGCTATGTTGTCCATAATATTAAATTACATAAATGATACAAATGTGGTGGAAATATATTTTTTATATTACAGATATTATAGCAAATAAAAACAAATATGGAATTAATGCTTTAAATACCTTTCCCATTTTCCATTAGCACATACTTCCTTCACATAACAGTACTTGCCCTTCAATTTGTATGGGAAGACATAACATTAAAGCCCAGGCAACTTTTAAATAATTTCCCAGTGTGTTTTCTTCCTTGCTTCTTTTCCATTCACCTTCTCCTTCTCTCTCTTTTTTTTTTTTTTTTTTTTTTTGTGTGTGTTTTTTGTTTGTTTGTTTGTTTTTTTCAATCTCCTGTTACTGTTTTCTGATCCTCTCCTTTTTCAGTAAATCATCATCTCACCGTCCTCCATCCCCAGTATGGCAGAGTGGAATGAAGGAGAGCACCAGGATTTGGAGGAATAGCTCTCATAACAGAGAAGTAACTGTCCAGCTGGAATAGTCCCAATGCTTTCTTAAATGCCACTGAGGTGCAGATTGCCAGGGCTAGCTCCTACCAGGGACTTTCTCGTTGTTGATGAATACAGGAACCAGCTGGGTAAGTGCGCGTGCTTTAAGCATGAATGAATGGACTGGAAGTTTCTGATACAGGTTGTTTTGCACTAAATGTCAATTGTAGTTCTGCCTGATCTCTTTCTGAGGTAAAATATAAAACCTAGAGTTTATTTGTGTGCTTTGGAGGACAGTAATGTATGTTTTCAAGATAAGTGTAAAGGGTAAAGCTTGGATAGCTCAAAAACCTTCCTATGCAAGGCTGAAAAGTAGGTATTTCCAGAGCAAGCCTATAACCTTGCCAAACAGCACACTGCTGTTTAGAGTAGCTTTTGTATTACTAGTTTTCTCCCTTCCAATGGGCTACGCTACTATTATGTCTTTTTGCATAATATTTACCCTATGTCTGTAATCACATCTGTTAAAAGGGACGTTACCCAGCCAACAGTACTTTTGGTGGCATATGGTGCTCTTTAATTAAATGTAAGTACTCATAAAAGCATTGAGTGTGCTCTATTTTTCAGGCCTCCAGCTATCCCCCGTGGCTCCCTTTATTCATTTAAATGCATCATCAGAAAGTCAGAAGGCCTTCTCCCTAATATACCAAACATAAAAATGGAACTTGAAAGCATAATAATAGAAGTACATGGTATAGTTTGCAGAGTTCAGTGTATTTAAATCTTGGAGTGGAAACCTGCCTTCCCTTGTAAGTAAAGAAATCAGCTGTGTGTTTCCATGAAGAGAGAAGGTTACCTTTTACTAAAAAATAGATGTGAGAATGTTGTGAGTTGAATCATGGCTGCGATACCAGAATCTGGTAAATTGTGAGCAGTAGAATAATTTACTTGGGTTTTTTTGTTTAATTTTCTTTATTGGGCTCTTCTCTGAGCATGGAGTGATGCCATTTTCAATTCTTATTTCATCTTCTTTTGAAGTAACTGCTGTGGAAAATAGAATATTTTTGTTTTGCTCTCTAGTTTTGCAAAGAAAAAAAACTACTGAAAAATAGCATTGTTTTACTTTTTAAGGACTTCACAGATGGGTCATGCAGCTTTTCTACACCAACACAGAATGCAGTGTTATTTGAAAAGATTTTGCTGTGTCGCATTAATCCACTGCCCATCGTGGACTATACAGGCATAGTTCTGAAAGCTTTAAGTAGACTTAAATAAAAAAGTCTTTATAGCCCAAACACACAACATGACAACTGACAGTTAGTTGTACGCAAAGAAATAAAAGACCTCATTAGTCAGTAAAACAAGCAACAGACTTAGCACAGTAACCATGGCTTCTGGTAGTCATCACAGCAAGCAAAGTTTTAAGAACTAGTCTGAATGAGTGAATGAATAGTCTGAATGAACAGTCTGAGGGAGTTTATAAAGTGCTTACATCTGGGTTACCTTTCATACTTAACAGAACAGTGAACCAGGAACATCATGGGTATGAGATACAGTTTGGCACTGTAAGCCTATCAGTATCTTGGTACTGATCAGAAAAAAAGGGTCAGTGAGGTAAGATAGAGCATGGGATACCTTGAATGGGAAAAGTACCGCAGCTAGACTTTAAAGGAAAAAGCAGCATGAGTAGGTAGATGCAAGGTGAGATACAAAAACAATGGTCTAGAAAATCACTCCTTGCAGATACATTCTGAATGGACAAGAGCAGATCAGACATGATTGTGTCTATCAAAGCCAGGAATAGGATGTCATGGAAACAGATGCATGGAGATGAAAGCTTCTCACTTCAGTCCCTCACACACCCCAGGCTGCCTTGTTAGGTTTTCATGGCTTAAAGTGCAGGCTTCAGCTGTCTGAGTAATCCTACTGTCACTGGAGAAACCATTAAGGTTAAGATAAGCTCACAATGTTAGGCTTTCACTTTGCTGTAAAAGCATAAACAACTCAAGATTTCCTGGTATGATATTTTAGATGTCACCCTCATCCTAAGAGATTCACAAACAGAAATTTCTCTTGAAAAATGTGAATTATGGGCCACATCTAAATTGTTCTGCAAATCAAACTGAAAATTCCACCAATTTTCTGTATTGCAGACTTAATTTTCCAAAGAAGGAACAAAGTGTTACATATGAAGCCCAATAACAATAAGGGTTCTGGGCCATCCTGAGAATAGAGAGGTCAAATCCTCATTGCACTTTTCCTGATAAAATTCATCTATTACACATTGAGCGTTATGAGGGAACAGGGCAGTCTTGAAGCTCATTAAAGCTTTCCAATCTGTGGAAAAAAAACAACATTTCTTTAAAATATTTTGGAAAGTAAAACCAGAGAACTAGAGTAAAATTTATGATGGATGAACCTTTATTTATACTATTTTTTCTTGGTTTTACTTGGATAATTTTATCATCTACCATGTGATGTGCTTATTCAGCTCAACCACCAGCAGATCTTTCCATTGCAGTACAAAGAAACTGGCAGTAAATTACATACTTCAGACAACTTTTTTTTTTTTATATATATCCCAATGGTATCAACCTACTTCACTAGCTGTAAGAAGATGCACCACAGTCAATACAGGAATTCAGAGCAATGCATGTATTTGGCAACAAGATCTGGTAAAATTGGTTTGCTTTTTTTTTTGCTTTTTTTTTTTCCAAGTCTTGGCTTTAAAACAGATCTCTCTCAAGAGCTGTAGTGACTTTATCTTTCCAGCTATCCATTTTTGAATGGATAGGTATCCTGTCTCAGATTATTAACTTGTGTACATATACAGTTTACAACAGGTACAAGAAGCTGAAATTCATGGCTTTGAATCATGGTATTCTCACATCAAACTATTGAGTAACTGTACAGCAGCTATTCCTGTTACTGTTCAAAGTTGCAAAGGGCTTAGTGTCAGAATCTACTTTAAAGAGTATCAGAACATCAGTCAAATCAAGAAGCGGTGTGAAAACTTGCTGTTAGCTCCATTTAGTTTGAACTGCTAGCTAGTTTGCATTAGCTTTCAGAGCTCTTAAATGTTTGTAACAAAAAAGTTTCAGTAAACCTTGGTATGTTTCAGTGAGATAAAAAATGTTCAGCACAGTCCTCTATCTCTTGCTTTCCCAGGTCAGTTCAGCCCAACCTTGGGACAGCACTGATTTTTTCTGCAGCTATCACTTGACTGAGACATCAACTTGCATATGAAATAATCAGGTGAATTGAAAAGATGTTACATGGCCTCCTACCACTTTTCTCAGCAAATCAGATGTTTTCCATTGCAAAACAACAATTCTTAAAATTACTAACAATCTCTTTTCACTAACACATTCAAATTAGCTACATATTTCTAACATCCCTACTGAATGACATTATTGAGTATGGTTAGTTATTTAAAAACATTTTTTAAACAAAGATGGGAGAGAAACGAAGGAAACTAGAGAAGAAACTAATGTATTTTTCAGTACCCAGCACTTTTAGTTATGTTTTTAATGTTATAGCTTTCTACTGAGGTCCAACTGAAATGGGGAATTCTTTGTATAAAGCAGTTAATTTCTTGCAGCATTAGGAGCAGGCAGTATAGGCCAACAGTTGGAGGAGAAAGACATATTGCTATCTCCATTTTGCATTCAGTGGAGTGATGAAGGGAGGCCAAAAATACAGGCCGAAGGTCAGCTGGGCGGACTTTGTTAGAATCAGAAATAGAAGCATAATGGCTGGAGCCCTTAGTCCCAAGACCAGCCTTGCTCTCTGACATCTCTGATTGCAGCTAAGATGTTTTTTTATAAACTGAAAAACCTCAGAAAGGTTGGTTCAGATAAGCATTCATTCTTCTGAGTGCTTATCTCTGCCTAACTCAAACCCACTGACTCCTCTAAGCCTGCAAAACAGATGTATTTCAAGAACTTTTAAAAATATTTTTCTCTACTTTGAATTCCAGTTAGAAGCAAGTTATATGAAAATGAAAGATAACATGAGGCAAATATATTTACTTGCAAATCCCAGAATGATTTGATTTTACCGGTTTCGGTGAAAGTCACTCTGGTTCCCTTTTTTTCTCTCCCTTGTGCACTGATGAAAAATCAGATTCAATTACTCGAATGTGTACTAGAACTAAAGCAATAGATAGGAGTTTTGCACGGGCTGCATGCCTAAAATATTGCTGGCAAAGAACTCCAGTCTCCACATCTCCAAAGCAAATGAAGGACTTGTTTGTGAATGTGTTATAAAACAATTAAAATTGTATGTTTATGATAATAGATCATGTGATCAGTAAATTGTGTAGTATTTATTAAGTAGTGAGATCAGGCTTGGCAACAGAAAAGACAAAGCACTTTGTTAGCAGCACCGTGGCTTAATTCACTCTGATTTGGCTTGGGTTCTGAGAAGATTTATTCTATATTGGATGTGCCTAGAGACTGCAGGTATGAGAGCTGCTCTGAAAGTAGTGCCTCCTTTTTTATGATATCGGCCTATGGTGTCAGAGATGGATGGTGGTATGGCAGTAGAGGTTGAACCTTGCCACCAATGTTCTGTCACATTTTGTTGCTGTGACACATGGCAGCAGAGGGGCAATCTAACAGAATGGTGTCTGACATCGAAATGCGTATGAAGCAATGGTGCATCACTGAATTCCTCCATGTGGAAACAAATGGCACCCACTGACATTCACTGCTGCTAGTTGAACGCTTATGGAGATCAAACAGTGGATGTGAGCATAGTGAGGTGGTGGGTGGTGTGTTTCAGCAGTGATGACAGCAACATGAAAGACAAGCCACGTTCTGGATGGGCATGCACAGCTGTCACACCACAAAATGAAGAGTGTCTCAATCAGCTCATCCATGCAAACTAGTGGATTATGACCAGGGAACACCCACTATATAGTCCAGATTTGGCATCTCCTGACTTCCATCTCTTGAGGCCAGTGGAAGATGGACTACATTGGCAACATTGTCCAAGCAGTAACACTGTTGTACCACTGTACCACTGTAGC